AATTTTTAAGTGACTTCTATAGGAACACATAACAGGAATTTTGTTTTGAAATGGGTCACTTAAAAATTAGGGATTGATGGTGAAAACGGGCATATGTCTAATAAGTAAGAACCTTTGTATACCAACATAGAGCAAAAGAGTTTGAAGTTGGACACTTGATAAGATTCTGTATAAAAGGAACACGCGAAAGTTAAAGCGTGCAAGGGGAAAAGTAAAGAACTTCGACGCAGTACGTAAGCGCTTTCCAAGCATTCGTTTCGTAAGGTGAGGTAGAACCATGGGTGGAAAAGGGGAATGTCAACCTATCAACAGTCTCGCTTTGTCGTACTTTAACGACATCATCGTGTGACCGTGTCCTAACGGTACGTTGAACAGTTACTTAGACGAAATTTTGGTGATGACTTCGAAATAATTCGATGTAAATTTTTTCATTGTTTTTTTTTGTACAGGTTGAACGTAAAACATCTGTTCCCCAAATTTCTGAAAGTTTTTAACAAGGGCACCGCTAAAGCGGCTTACCAACTAATGCCGCCAACTATTGAAAAGGGTAAGATTATCGTGATTTTTGTTTATTTTTTATCTCGATTTTTATACTTTTTATTGATATTTGACTGGCCAAATATTTATTTATAGGAAATTGTATTATAATTGGGATACTAATAAAATACAGACTGAATAATTAGAGTTGTAATAAGCGAAATATTTTTCAGGTGAAGACGCGCGTTTGTATCGTGACGTGCAACTGAGGCTAGAGCGTTACGGGAATACCACCATGTATTGGCGAGTCCGGGAGTCTTGCGGGGCGAGAGTATGTATTAGTTTTATATACTCGTATATCTTTTTTATTATTATAAAAATTGAGTGGAAAAGATATAACCCGTTCAAGTTAACTGCGCAGTTGGCGACTGTGACGTCATATCGACGCTCTGGTAATATGGACGGGGCGAACGCGTGAATATGAACGGTTAAGTGGGAGGGAGAGTCGCATTCCAGCGAGGTGCGCAAATGGCCCGATCAGGTTGTAGGTCGGCGATTCTTTTTGTGGGAAACTAATACTTATTTCTCCTAAACCAAACGTTATTTATTTTCAGGACCCATTGCTGTCTATCCCAATGAACAATTGCGATATGCTAGTCATGTACACATTCAACGATAAATTGTTCCCGGAAACTCTCAATTTCATATCTGGAAGCGGGTGAGTACATTCTACGTATCTACAATTAACAGCCTAGTTTCCTAACACGTATTNAGATCCACGCGTACGAAGTCGCGGGCGGCCGCTAGTGTCTAATAAGTAAGAACCTTTGTATACCAACATGAAGCAATTAAGAGTTTGAAGTTGGATACTTAATAAGATTCTGTATAAAAGGAACACGCGAAAGTTAAAGCGTGCAAGGGGAAAAGTAAAGAACTTCGACGCAGTACGTAAGCGCTCTCCAAACATTCGTTTCGTAAGCTGTACAGTGAGGTAGATCCATGGGTGGAAAAGGGGAATGTCAAGTCAACCTATCAACAGTCTCGCTTTGTCGTACTTTGACGACATCATCGTGTGACCGTGTCCTAACGTCACGTTGAACGGTTACTTAGACGAAGTTTTGGCGATGACTTCGAAATAATTCGATGTAAATTTTTTCATTGGTTTTTTTTGTACAGGTTGAACGTAAAACATCTGTTCCCCAAATTTCTGAAAGTTTTTAACAAGGGCACCGCTAAAGCGGCTTACCAACTAATGCCGCCAACTATTGAAAAGGGTAAGATTATCGTGATTTTTGTTTATTTTTTATCTCGGTTTTTATACTTTTTATTGATATTTGACTGGCCAAATATTTATTTACAGGAAATTGTATAATAATTGGGATACTAATAAAATACAGACTGTGAATAATTAATTAGATTTGTAATAAGCGAAATATTTTTCAGGTGAAGACGCGCGTTTGTATCGTGACGTGCAACTGAGGCTAGAGCGTTACGGGAACACCACCATGTATTGGCGCGTCCGGGAGTCTTGCGGGGCGAGAGTATGTATTAGTTTTATCTACTCGTATATCTTTTTTATTATTATAAAAATTGAGTGGAAAAGATACAACCCGTTCAAGTTAACTGCGCAGCTGGCGACTGTGACGTCATATCGACGCTCTGGTAATATGGACGGGTTCGCCCCGGGGAGATGAACGGGTAAGTGGGAGGGAGGGAGAGTCGCATTCCAGCGAGGTGCGCAATTGGCCCGATCAGGTTGTAGGTCGGCGATTCTTTTTGTGGGAAACTAATACTTATTTCTCCTAAACCAAACGTTGTTTATTTTCAGGACCCATTGCTGTCTATCCCAATGAACAATTGCGATATGCTAGTCATGTACACATTCAACGATAAATTGTTCCCGGAAACTCTCAATTTCATATCTGGAAGCGGGTGAGTGCATTCTACGTATTTATAATTAACAGCTTAGTTTCCTAACACGTATTTCTGTGGACGATCGTAGAGTATTAGTTATTCTAATACTTGTAAATAAGGCGATAATAGTCCAATGGTGTAGGCATCGTATTGCTAATTCAGGATTCGAGAAAGCTAGATCCCATTCGAATGCTGGACTGTTGTGGTGACCGCACTCTTCTTAAAAATTGCAACTAATAGATGTCTCGCGCAATCAAAGCGGTGGATAGTTCGGTGTAGGAGGATGCAGCAATTGATCTAGTTGACACCATAAACCAAAAGCACGAGTTCTTAAAAAGCCAGCCAATGAGGGCTATCGTTTTAGCGCTCACCAGTTAGCGCCACTGTAGAGGAAGGTCCTGTCACTTGCTAGTAGCGAAGACAGTGGCGCCAACTTGTGAGCGCTAAAGTGGTAGGAGGACTATCGTATTTGCACTCATCAAGATGGCGCCACTGTAGAGTAAGGTCCTGTCAATCGCCAGGGGTGCCAACTGTTAAGTATAAAAACGATAGCCCTCATTAACACGCTTATGTTCGCAGAATCATCGGCCTATACACTACGTTCGTGTTCCTGGCTTCGCGCGTGCTGCGCGGCTTCTTCTCCGGAATCTACACCAAGATCATGTTCGACGACCTGCCCAACGTGGACCGCGTGCTGCAGCTCTGCCTCGACATATACTTGGTAACAACACCCTTGTCTAGTTGTAATAGATGCTATTTCTCAACCAAAAAATTCACGCCTACTGTGTGGTTTCGGTGCATCTGATATAATCTTAGGCTGGGTTGCACCATCTTACTTTAACTTTGACAAACGTCAAAATCTGTCAAACTCCATACAATTATCGTTAGAGTCACGGTCAAAGTTAGGTGGTGCAGCTCAGCGTTACTCTTTATTTTATTTTATTATGGGAAAAATCTCATCAACCTACTGTGTAATTTTGGTGCATACAGGTATTTCACCCACCGCCCGTTGAGAAAGCTTCGTAACTAAGTTTGATTGTTCCCAAGTAGAGATTTAATTTGTAATATTGACATCGTATTGTTTATTTTCAGGTACGCGAAGCCCTCGAGCTAGCATTAGAAGAGGATCTCTTCGCGAAACTGGTGTTCTTGTACCGGTCGCCGGAAACTATGATCAAGTGGAGTCGACCGAAAGAAGAAATCGAAGAACAGAGGGCGCTGCCTCCGTCGCGCTGACCACTCGTAGCGAACTAACGAGTAATCGATCACAATGGAGAACGCTTCAAACGAGTCAATTTTACAGTTAAATCTGCGACGCTATGAATGTATAATCTAGCTAGAACAAGCGACGGGCTATTAAGGCCTAATTTATAAGGCTCTACTTATACACCGGCCCTGCTGCTGTAACGACCTAGGACGTGGCAATTTTAATAGATACGTAAGTTGTACAGTTGTATAATTTAAGAATAACTAAGATGCAACTTAAAATTCTCTTCTTCCTTGACTTAATTTTATACACTTTTATTATTGCCTAAAATAAAACATTCCGGATTATCAATTATGATATGAAAACGAATGTACCATACAACAAACTTGTAGTGTGGCTGACACTGCTCAACAAAAGCAACTGGTATCTAATGGTCTTATGAATCACGAATGAACTGTTATAAAGTTTATTTTACGCGCACTCATTACAAATGAGCTATAAAGATTTGGCATGTCATGTCCATTTGTAAAATTGAAGTTCTTGTCTCTCTTTATCAATCCAAAGATCTTTCTTCCACCAGTTATTGCTTTATATTTTTACATGATTCTTCGTAGGTACTTATGTACTTTAGGAAAGTCTATATTAAGCTAATTGTAAGCTTTATGATCTAAAAATATCTCGCTACTTAATGCTTACATTTTAGTTAATAAGTTTTTAAAACTGCACAAGTTTAAAGTAACCTACAATTATTTATATGAAATGAATTGCAGTTTGAGGTTTGCGTACTAATTTTATAATGTCGTAAGTTCAGTACCTACCTACCTACACATTTCCAGTGACGTTTTTATTGGAACCTTTAAAGAATACAGATTGTAAAATGAAAGTATCTAAGAATAAAATTACATTATCGTACGCGAAGGAAATGCTAAGCAAGTGGCTTGTCTTTCCATTTTAAAATTACAAGTTTACGTTTTTTCTGTGACCATAATATTTGTGATAAACATTACATTTGCCCCGAAAATATTTGGTTTTCGGTAAATATATGAAAATTGTTTATTGTTACATATTTATACATCTACATAGATTTATCTACCATTGTTGTTTTTATTAAAATTTTGTTGCACAAATCGTTACTCTTTTACATAATTATGTACTTTTATATATTTTATACAAGCACTTCCGTAATGTAATAAATTACCTCAAATTAATCATTGCATTTTATATAGTGTATTTATAAATTATGAAAGTATGAAGAATTATACACTTTTGTATCAAGATTGTTATGTTTTAAGCTGCATTTAATGTTGTCAGTTTGTGATAATAAAACTCATGATAAATGTTAAAATATTGTTTATTTTCAAAAAGATAATGAAACAATACAAGAAACCTTACTTGCTTATGCACTAATACCTAAATGGGCTGGTTATACATTATGGAATTCGATTTAATAATGTAATATTAAGTATGGATGTATAAGTCGCGCAGCGAAAGTTGAGGCGAACACTGATTGATGTAATATTTTAATACAGAACACAACATTGCATTAAAGTTCAAAATATCGAATACACTAGCTACCTCGATTTTGGTAGATGTGTGCAAGGCAAGTGAGACAAATTTATCAGACTACGCGAGATGTCAGCGCGGCTATCATCGTATGTATACGAATAGAAAACTTTGCTTGTGTTGGTCGCCTTAACTCTCGCAGCTCGATCTATACTTTTGTCATGTTTTCCTCAGAATAAAGAAACAAAGGCATTTAAAGAATCAGACCGGAATCGAAGTCATGAAATCACAAAGGACAATGACCAAAAGTGGTCCAAATGTCCACCACTGATGAGACCTATATTGGCTTATAGTCCATTAAATAGAGATTAACTTTCAGTATGGGACGAAAAAAAAATAAGCTGTCAGTAAAAAGTTATGACTATTTAAAAATTGTAGTAGTTTACGCGCTTATCTCAGGAACTACTGGTCTGATTTGAAAAATTCTTTTTGTTATGGGTAGCCCATTTATTAAGGATGGTTTTAGGATAAATAACATCACCCTACAACCAATAGGGGCGGAGCAGTAAAGACAAATGTTGTAAAAATGGGTAATATTATTCAAACTATTTTTACGCGTACAAAGTCGTAGGCACAGCTACTATAATCTACACTAATATTATAAAGAGGAAAACTTTGTTTGTTTGTTTGTTTGTTTGTTTGTTTGTTTGTTTGTTTAGTTGTAATGGATAGGCTCAAAAACTACTGGACCGATTTTAAAAATTCTTTCACCATTCGAAAGCTACTTAACTCACGAGTAACATAGGCTACATTTTATTTTGGAAAAAAATAGGGTCCCGTAAAATATTTGGGATTTTCATAAGACGTGGAAAAGCGCCANGAAATGAGGAGATCCGTAAACGAACCAAAGTCGCTGACATAGCCCAACGGATTAGCAAGCTGAAGTGGCAATGGGCAGGGCACATAGTACGCAGAACTGATGGCCGATGGGACAGAATGGTTCTGGAATGGAGGCCGCGTACCGGAAAACGTAGCGTGGGACTTCCACCTACAAGGTGGACCGACGACATAGTAAAGGTAGCAGGGAAGCGCTGGACGCAGGCCGCTTCCAATCGATCAACATGGAAAGCATTGGGGGAGGCCTATGTTCAGCAGTGGACGTCCTATGGCTGAAATGGTGGTGGTACATATACTGAAAATGTATCATTAGAAATCAACTACGGGGGCTAAGGAGATAAAAGGAGGGTTGGAAGTTTATATTATGAAAGTCCTATGTGTTTAAAGTAAGAGAGTTGAAATTTAAAATGTATGCGCTATAGATGCTAAGAGCGGATTTTACGAAACTCCACCCCTAATGGAGTAAAACGAGGTCCACGCGTACGAAGTCGCGGGCGGCCGCTATATTTAATAAAATTCATCTATAACCCCGCGCCACATGCGACATGACATAACATGCGTAGATTAGTCCAAAATATGCAATGGATAGAATGATATCAAGAACATTTTTCGGATGAAAAGGTAAAAAACAGACTTTTCATTCAGTGATAACTTTTTACTGACAGCATATTTTTGATTGCGGTTTGGTTATAATGAATCAGTATTTAGTAGACTATTTTACTACATAGGTCTCATTCGTGGTGGACATTTGGACCACACTCCATACATTTTTGGTCATTGTCCTTTTTAAACAATTACAAAACATGTTTTACTATCTAATCGGGAGATTATTTGAAAATTTTGGAAGCGCCCAGTGTTTAATTAGTCTTATATCTACTAAGTATGAGAAATACAATATTAGTTTACCACCATCAATCTTGGGGCAATATTCATGGACATCAATTCTTGGAATAGTAATTTCGCGGCATATGGGAGCCTTATTTGAGAAATCTGAGTTTTGTTCTTACAACCCTTGCATTCAAAAGTATTATTCCTCAGATTAGCTATAGCTATCAAGCCGCAGAAGTTGCAAACATGGATTCGATATGGATCAGAGACTTCAAAGAGACGTTCTCTAAGGAACTGGGCGGCTCCGTGCGCAATTTGACAATCACGCTCCATTTCCCCAAAACGCAGTCCACCATCTCTCGCCCTACCTTCCATAGGTTGTCTCACTAAAATCTGGACAGGCCCTCTAGCTCTGGAGTGAATTTTGTCATCCACCATGTGCTTTAAACGTTGGTAGTATGTAGGACCCAAGAACACTTGAGCGTTTATTTTTCTGCCTGTATGTCCGTTATACATTACTTCATTACCACGCAAATGATAACCATATTCTTGAAGTAAAGATGAAATTTTTTGCACATTCACCGCGTCGTTGAATGGTGTAGCGTCACCAATCTCACCCTTGTTTGACGATACCTTGCCTTGGATGCATTCAATCAAGTGACCAATTGTCATACGGGAGGGGATGGCGTGGGGGTTGATGATGATATCTGGTGTCAGACCTTCACAAGTGAAAGGCATATCTTCTTGCCGATATTGAATACCGCAAGTACCTTTTTGACCGTGGCGAGAGGCGAATTTGTCACCAATTTGAGGAATTCGTACAGATCTGACACGAATTTTGCAGAACTTGTATCCTTCACTGTTGAGGGTTAACATGACTTGGTCCACAATACCAGTCTCACTGTTTCGTAAAAATGTAGAAGCATCTCGTTTAGTGTAACGTTTAGTTGTGCCTTCAAGTTCATCATCATTTTCAGGTAAAGTGATGGTTTTGCCAATCACAACATCATCTCCAGAGACACGAATTCCGGGAGCGATTATACCATCATCATCTAATTTGTCATACAATGCATTTCTCATTCCCTGACAAGTTTGCCTTGTAGGCTTTTCAAATTGCTCTTCTTGATCTCCAATCCTTTTAGATTCAGAATCTTTATAAGAACGGTAAAATACAGATCTAAAGAACCCTCGTTCAACAGCTGAAGCATTTAAGATAACACTGTCCTCTTGATTGTATCCAGTGTAACATAAAATAGCAACAATGGAATTAATGCCAGCTGGAAGTTCTCTGAATCGCAGATATTCCATGGACCGTGTAGTAACCAATGGCTTGTGTGGATAAAACAACACATGAGCAAGTGTGTCCATTCTAACATGGAAGTTTGTAATATAAACCCCCATGGCCTGTTTACCCATAGCACTTTGATAAGTGTTCCTGGGACTTTGGTTGTGATCAGGGAATGGAATAATAGATGCACATACACCTAATATCATTGCAGGATGGATCTCACAGTGAGTGTAGGTTGTACAATAAGCATATTCTTTAACTTGGGCCAAATCATCAGGGCTCATGGCAATCATGACTGTCTCCTCTTCCAAAGTATCAATGTATTCAACAACACCACTTGCAACTAAATTTTGCCAGCCATAATTATTGTAATCTCTTTCTTTAAGATTGTCAATGTGTTTTTTCTTTAAAAGTAGAGCTCCATTCTCAACAATCAGCAATGGACGACATATTCTACCCGCATCTGTATAAATTCTAATTTCCCTGTCTCGAATATCACGAATCATGCTCACTTCTGAGACAATAATATCCATCTGACGTCTTAGTTTTCTTAGAGTGGCCATAAGTTGTTCAGGATCTCTATGGATACCAACCCAGCAACCATTGACAAATATCTTTGTTGCATCAGCTATGGCAGATGGTGCTATTTCTTCTAAATTTTCCATAGACCACTCTTCCAAGAACTCCAATATAGGTGATGGCTGACTTCCAACAGATATGTAAGCCATCAATGCCAGATTCTTCACCAGACCTACAGCAGCACCTTCTGGTGTTTCAGCTGGACAAATCATTCCCCAAAGTGTATTGTGCAACTGTCGAGGCTTAGCTAGCTTACCATCTCGACCAATTGGTGAGTTGACACGTCTTAGATGAGATAATGTTGAGGCAAATGTCAACCTGTTCAACACCTGTGACACTCCAGCTCTAGCTTGATGAGCTTTCTTTTGATCACCCCAATTTCCTGTAGCTAGAGAATATCTCAAACCATCAGTGATAATTTTAGTTTTTATTGCCAGCTCTAAATTGAAATCTTTTCCTCTATCAATGAATTTTTGAGCATACATTCTTACTTCTTTCAACAAGTTCTTGAACAAGCCTCGGAACAAAAATGCCAATAAAGGCCCAGCCAAATCCAAACGTTTATTTCCATAATGATCTCGATCATCCAGTTCTCGGCGTCCCAATGCAGCCAGAAGTAGTCTGTGAACCATGTATCCCAAGAAGTAAGTCTTTTTAGTCTCACAAAAATCAGAGACTCCTACATGTGGTAACATTTCTTTTTGTAAAATTTCTCTAGCATACTTGATACGCTTTTCTTTAGTGACACCTGGTCGGGCCCCACGAGCACCAATGAAGTTGAGTGCAACGTTTTGTTCTTGAATAACAAAAGCCTCATCTAATGAAGGTTTCACCATCTCCATCATTTCAGGATCATCAAAGTCATAGATAATATGTTCCAATATATCTCTGTCTGCTACAAACCCAAGGGCTCTGAATACAATCATGATGGGTATTTCTTGTTTGATGTATGGAACAATAGCAATGATTCTTTGACCAATAGCAGATTTCTTTATACTTTGCCCTCCTCTGGCCATCATGTTCACCCATAAAGTTGAGGTAGGTCTTGAGCTGTGTTCAAGACATGACCTAATTTCTGTTTTGTAAGCAAACTTTCCATCTTTCATGCTGAAGACATAAACAGTATTTGTGGCCATCTTTTCCTGTGCAATAAGGACTTTTTCAGAACCGTTGATGATAAAGTAACCACCAGGATCTAATGGACATTCATTCAATTCAGTCAAATCTCTGTCAGTTAGATTGCTAAGTAGGCAATAAGTCGAACGCAGCATAATTGGGATTTTCCCGATAAAGGTTTTTTGATGTTGCGTTTCAATTGGATCTTCATTCTCTTTTACAATGGTTTTGGTTATATCAACGTAAAGAGGAGCTGAATAAGTCAGATTCCGAAGACGTGCTTCATTAGGCATCATAGGCGAAGGAGCACCATCTTTTTCCCAGTGAGTAGGTTTGGATAAATAGATTTGATCAAACTTTAGAAGATATTTAGGAGGGGTCTCTATTTCACCAGACGAATGTTGAGCTTCTGCTTGTAGTTCAATTGGTGGAGAATCTTCTACTATGCGCTGCACAGACATTTGAATAAATTCGTCAAAACTATCAAGTTGTTGACGAACCAAACCCTTTTCATCGAAGTACGCGTTGATAACGATCCAACAGGCTTCTTGCCAGAGCTCAGAGGAAATTTCTTCAACATCTTCTTCTTCATATTGATCATCTTCAGTATCATACATGATGATATGGAGAACTAAATCTCCTGAATTGTGATATTTGTGGCAAATTCAATAAAAAATTCGACGTCGACACAATACCTACCGCAACGCGAGGATTGCGGCGAATTCTAAAATGGCTGCTGTCTTTGGGGATACCAGCCCAAAGAAAGATTTTCCTTAATTTTACACAAAATTATTTCTATAAATATTGCGGATACCAAAAAAACTAAACCTATTTTATTTATCTTCGAAATAATTACAGTCCAAAATAACTACTATTTTATTAAAATACCTAAAGATCGCTTTACATAATTTTAAATTTATTAAGTACTTCATTCATATTCGTATTGATATGGTTCATATGGTTCGATTTCGATACCACTGAGCAGGTAATGACTTTGTTTGATACCACTCAGTCTTAAAGATAACCCATAGTTTATTTGGTTTATTTTAGTTTTCCACTGCTCACTGGCATGCGGATCACCATTGACAAAGGCCGCTATTTTTCTAGTCACCATNTTTATTTTAACAAGCCCCGTGTCATTTTTTTTTTTTATTTTTTTTATTTTTTTATTTTTTATTCTCTGTTACATAAAACCACCCCCAACCCTTTCCCCAACCCCTGCTGTAAAAATTTTTTGTGTGTTTTGTCTTTTTTGTGTTGTCTTATTCGTGATTGTGATTTGTGACGTCTTTTTTGTTTTAGGTCGATAAGTTCGCTTAGTCTTGTAGAAAAAAAAATCTTTTTTTTTATTTTACTTTATTTGATTCTATCACTGTGTAAAAGCTGCGCACGTGACATTGGCGGAACAGTGGCGAAAAAGCACAAGTTCATCGCCATCAATAAAAGAAGAAGAAGATAATAAACTGATTTTAATAATATATAATTCAAACATTGATCTTAAAGTAATTAACTACAACCACGATCATGCTTAATGAGCTTCTTGAAAAAGAGAAAAGCTATTTCTAAAGTGATAGGATGAAATTAGTACTTATCCCATAAAAATACTACTGAAAATCATGAACTCTGCCTCTGCATGCTTTTCTCACTTTACAATTAAGCATTTTCTTCATAGTTCAGTTCAGTTCTTATTTCTGTTTCTCAGAAAATTATTTATTCACATAGGTTTCTTACGACCAGTCTAATTTCTTTTTCGTGAAAAGTAACCCGTTTAAAGTAACCTCTCTCTCCTACTGTTTAATGTTTGTTAAAAAACCGGTAATGATCATTTTTTGATCTGGCTTTAGGCATCACTAGTTTCGAGTCCGATCCGAATTCGATGTTTTGTTCGAAGATTTGGGAATGAAAATGAAGAGTGGTTGTTGAAATGATTCATTCAAGTGTTTTTGGACAAGATAATCGTGTTGTTTTGATTTTATAGTCTGATTTGGTTGTTTTAATCATAATGGATTCATCTAGAAGAAATAACCCTGAAGAGCAAAGGTGTATAATCGGACTTCAAGATTTAAAACTTTCAAACAAAGATGAGGATGGTTCTGAGCAAGCGCACCGCAGCGGTGCCCCGTCCAATTCAAGCACTCTTGGCAAATCGCGACCAGTCGGTGCGATAGAGAGTTTTGTGCTCGATAACACTCAGAACAATCGTCAAGATTACAGCTTTTACGAGAGGTCTAATGTGATAGCTGCTTCTAAATTTGCGACTCCTAAACGTGTAGAAACGATCGCATCACTCAACAAACGTGATTTAAACACAGCAGCATTGCCTGCCAGTCCTACACGATCAATCGACTCATTGTCTCAGAGATCTCTGAGTTATCAAACTGAGGATCTCTACGAGATACCGTCAAACCCGAACGCCCAATATCCGCCGCCTGTGTATGAGAACATCGATTATTACGGGGAGCAGCGCTCTCCGCAGCCGCCGTACTACCACCAGCTGTACCAAGGCCCGGCGCCGCCCGCGTCTGACGGCTACTACGACACTCGCTACAGCAAAGCCCAGCCACAAGTTCCAGTTAATTCCAAGCCTAAGGGAAATCCATTAGTGTATGAAAACATGCTTTGTAATGACAACAATACTGATAAAAAGAGTGATTTCAAACCCCAAATAAGCCATGAACAACGCTTTATTCAACAAGGCTCAGTTCCTGGCCCTCAGGTACCCAATACGAGTGTAAATAGAAACGTCACTCAAATGTTTTGTGAGAAAGTAAAGGTGGATAAAGCTCCTCCACCTCCACCATACAGTACAAATCAGGAAAACCCCAGTAGTGATTATACAATAATGAAGTCAGCTCCTCCTAAATACACTGATGTAAGTGCACTTTTAAAGAATGATGGCACTGTTACTTTTGATGACAAAGTAGTGAAAATTCCATCTACTGCAATTTATGCATCGATAGCTCCAAGTGCTCAAAGACCTAAAGCAAATATTGCAACAGAAGTACAAATTGCTACAGCTAGCCCTAAATTTTTCCATCCTAAACCAAATATAGCAAATAATCTTGTCAAGGAGAAGCCACCTGTGAGCAACGGATACAATGTGAAGCCAGCAGTAGGTAGTAGGATGCAGATAGTGGAAGACACAAACAGTTCAGACTATGTGTGCATGACGGGCGGGACTCCAGCCGCTGCTGTTGCGGCTGCTAACAGCAAGGATACTGCTGCTCCACCAGCAGAAAATCTGGGGCCCAGGAACTTAGTATCTGGCCTGACATCACTATGTTCACCGGCACAGTCCCCTGCCCCTAGTCCTACACCAAGTTCTGTGTCGCAAGTGTCAGGTGGGTCGAGAGGCTCTGGGGGTCGTGGGAAAAGCTTACTGCCTTATAGCATTACTCCACCTCGTCCATCTGGCCCCAGTGAGGCTCAAAGAAAAATAGAAGAGATGACACGTCAACTGGAAGAGGAAATGGAAAGGCAGGATGAAGAAGGGGAATATTTTGGTAGGTTTGATTTTATTTTTAATTAATTTAACTCTCATATCAACTTACTTATTGAAAAGGTAACCAAATTCAGAATATTGAATTCTCTATGCACATTTCAGGTATCTGCCATATATGTGGTGCTGGAGTGACGGGAGCAGTTCAGGCTTGTCAGGCCATGGGCAACCTGTACCACACCAACTGCTTCATTTGCTGTTCTTGTGGTAGAGCATTGCGAGGCAAGGCCTTCTACAACGTCCATGGGAAAGTGTACTGTGAGGAGGACTACTTGGTAAGCTGATTAAAATATACAATAAATATTTTGTATGATTAGATAGAATGCTTCTAATTTTCTAATGTTGTTTGATTACAGTATTCAGGTTTTCAACAGACTGCAGAAAAATGTGCAATATGTGGGCACCTAATCATGGAAATGGTATGTAGCAGGTTCAAAAAATATCAATTTATCTCCTTACTAGCTTTCCGCCCGCGGCTTCGCCCGCGTGGAATTTTGTCTGTCACAGAAAAACTTTATCGCGCGCGTCCCTGTTTCAAAAACCGGGATAAAAACTATCCTATGTTCTTTCCCGGGACTCAAACTATCTCTATGCCAAATTTCATCAAAATCGGTTGCGAGGTTTAAGCGGGAAAGCGTAACAGACAGACAGAGTTACTTTCGCATTTATAATATTAGTTGGGATAGATGATTGTGTAACTTAAATTAATTTTGTCTTGTAGATTCTTCAAGCAATGGGCAAGTCATATCATCCTGGGTGCTTCAGATGCTGTGTTTGCAATGAATGTTTGGATGGAGTACCATTCACAGTTGATGTTGACAACAAGATATACTGTGTCAATGACTACCATCGTATGTTTGCTCCAAAGTGTGCCAGCTGTGGTAAAGGTATGTAAAACAACATCTGTATAAAATTGTACTAGTTAGCAAATTCATACTTATATGGAATATTTCCTAACATTGAGAAATTGACAGTTTCAAGAAAGAAATTCATATCATATCTTTATTTATTGTAGTTTGGAAAGTTGATAAACTTCCTTTTCCTGATAAGAGCTAAGAACTTGATAATTTTTTAAGATTAACATGCTTGTTTTACGATATTGTTACACCCTTTTTTAACATTTTACTAAGAGAATGTCAATTTTTTTAGGTATTACTCCTGTAGAGGGTACAGATGAAACTGTAAGAGTGGTGTCAATGGATCGCGACTTCCATGTAGATTGCTACATGTGTTGCGTTTGTGGCATGCAGCTTACCGACGAGCCTGACAAACGTTGCTACCCATTAGCTGGTAAATATACATATTTATATTAAAATATACAAATTTCACTTTCTTGGTCCTAATGCAGAATGCACTGGTGAACTCAGTAAAACATACCCACCTTAAAACTTGTCCACTAACTGATGCATTACTGCCCTTTAATTATCTACCACACAGAACAAAATTTTTTATTTTCATCGATTTATTTGACAATCACATTGACAATTTGTAAGTTATGTTGAGGTTGATGTGTGTTTCCGACTTCAGGCAGGCTGATGTGCCGCGCGTGCCACCTGGCGACCATCGGCGCCGCGACAGGCCCCGGCCTGCCGCCCGCGCCGCATCTGTCGCCCGCCTCGTACCAGTACATGGGCTGAGCGTCAGCACCTTCGCCACTTTAAACAAATATTCACATAAGTCGTCGGCAGCTAGATAGTGTGTGCTCAAAACTAAGGTGTCGTAGATTCGCTCGATGTTAAGGGAATACAAAGACATACTTATAAAATCCCGTCCCGATCGGCCGCATTTCTTTACGTTTCGTAAGAATTTGAAAGACGAAACGATGTTTATTGACGATCGGAAGGTCGAAATTAAAGCCCTATGAGGAAAATTTAAAATAACTGACACTTTCGTCTCACGTAGTCACAAAATGGCCTAATTTTGCGGCCGGTCTAAAGTGCTTGCAGAAAACAAGTATAATGGGGATCCAAAACACCAAGTCCTGCCAATATTGTCTGCTATTAGTTTTACAGAGGAAGACCGTTGGACATACTGTAATATGAATAATCTGTGTCAATAGATTGAATATTGGTGATATCTAACAAGATTTCCAAAGTATATTGGCTCAGACTATATCATGATGTGTGTCTTTTTTCGACTTCGTACAACATTCGCTTACTGTAATCGGCTTTTAATAGAAGTGCTGTATTTTCTTTGTGTAGCTTTAATAGTATACATAAGCGTTTTAGTGGAATTGAGTGCCTGTACTATAGTTCAGAGTCTAATGATTGGACCCTTTGCTTTGTTTACAATCTAAGATTCATCATCCCAAAACCTGTTTGATCTTGCCCAGTCAATGATGTGAGCATTAATTTTATTTGCCTAGACTTTGATGTAAAGTGTAGAATTGATTTTTGGCTGTTGTAATTCGTCTAATATTTTGTAGTAAAGCTGACTATTAACGAAACCGAAATCTATTTTAAAATTTAGATGAAACTGTATAGATCCACCACTGGTAAATGTATGCTATATTCTATGCATAATGGATATTGTTAAGGAGATATTATTAAGTATGTTAATTTGTTAAATATAAATGTTAATATTTATTAATGACTGGCTCCATCATGAGGAATTTAATTTGCTTTCATTATTAGCATTTATGATATTGTTTACATGTTTTTGAGCCAGTTATTGCGCTCAGTGTAGTGTACGACCGATGTCATTAGACTACAGTGAATCAGTATCCTAAGGACTTTTTCAATATATCCAGTGAAGTTACAATGGTGGCAATAATCATACCTAACATCCTAATGCCTTGATTTGCGACAGTGCATATTATCATGCATTTAAAAATGATTTCCTTTTAGGTTCCATTATAACAACTTGATTTGTTTAGTGTTATTTTGTGATAATATTTAGTTATTTACATTATTGAGTTTTTGATTTTAATAAGTTTGCATTGTAAAGAACAAATTAATCTAAATGGAATTTGATATGCATTTTACAGTTCAAAGTATTTCATGCTACAGTTTATTAATGATTAAATTTATAGTTTGAAGAATGTGTATCAGTGCCAATAATTTATTAAAAGTCTAGCTGGTTGCCAGACATTCATTAATCATATGCATTTATTAATTTATAGACACAACATGACATGGCAGCACTCCTGGTACAACATGAACAAAAATATAAGTTTTATTATGTAATCACTTGGTCACAAAGTAAATAAGGTTTTAAAGACATTTCACATAATGTAACAAATAACATTCCAGTTATGTGCTGTCCTGTTTTGTACTTAAGTTTATTCATCACTTATAAGTGGATATATGTACATTTTGATGGAAATGTGATTATTATTTTAGGAAATAAAATAAAACTGTTAATTTTAAGTAATACTTTTTTATATTTTAAATATTTTTAAACAATAATAAATCTTTCGAAATTTAATAAATATTCTTTTCATGATAAACTAAAGAAAAGACCACCTATACAGCTTTTACAGTGTTAAAAGGAAAATTATTTACTTTAGAAGCATTATTACTTTTTTATCTTATACCTTTTCTGAAAGAAAAAGTTTGTCAGATAATGGAAATCTTATCTAATTAAATTAAAGTAAATTATAAAAATGAACAAACTGGCTACATAATCACATTTTTTTCACCTTATTTTTCATATTGCGTATTTCGGTTTTGTATCGTCTCATCTCGTCCATTACATGATTCCGTTTTTCCTTCATCTGTGTTTGGTAATGTTGTTTGCTCTCATTAAAACGATCTTGAAGATTATCTTTTCTCTCTTGAAACATTTCCTTGATTCGTTCTCTCGTTGGCACTGGTCTGATCCAACCAATCGCTGTTAACTTTTTAATTGCAAAAGTAGTACCACCTGAAATAATGTATATTATAAGGACAGTTCATATTTTAAAGATTCACCTAAAAATAGAAATAAATCCTACTAACCAACAGTTACTGCATATCTCAGAGGAGTTGCTAATTTATAGAGAGCGAATGCAAGTGCAAAGTATCCAGCACTGGAGTCTCTCAATGGTGCCATCAAAGTTTCATTTACACCTAAGTATTCCAATAAACTCAGGACATCTACACCACTGAAATAATAATAATATGTACATGTTACTGTCTGCTTTATAAGTATTGCTTATTTTGGTCTTTGATTACACTGATACCAACCTTCTTACTGCATAGTAGAAACCGCCAAACCAAACAGCTGATGTTGCCATATGCACAGGCACTAAGACATACCAGTAGTCCCTGTACATCTGCTTGAACCTCTGGATAAGACCAGTTTTCTTTTCTTCAGGCTCCTGTGGATTCTGGGATGATCCATTTTGAGCGACGTAACTTCTACTTGAGATAGATATGCAGCTGATTTGTTTTATATCAAAGAGCGGCTTGCTAAAAATATTATTGCGACAAAAACTAATATTGGATAAACTTCTAAGAGGTTGGTTCCTCACAACACCTGATTTGACCGGTTTGGTTATGATGCAAAAATATTGACAATTCCTAAACAATGTCCTATAGGTTAAAGCCATTTTGTAAAACAAGTTTTATCTATTTACTTAAGAAAACCCTAGAATCTACGCATTTTTTATGATGAAATAGTATTTTTTATTTTTGTACAAATTTGACGGAAACGGATTGATGTGTGACTTTGACAGTTGACTTTTTTTTTCTTTTTGTCAGCAGCGCAATGAGTGTTATCGTGGCTAGCTTGGCCATTCGGTAAGCTGTTAATTAATTTATTAAATTAAATCATCTAATAGGGGTTTGTTTGTAAAGATCATTAGAGGTTTAAAATAGTATGTTTAATTACATTAGTGGGTCACCTGTATAAATAACCATCCATCCATCGGGAAAGTCAACCTGTCTGTGCACCATTGGACTTTGGCACTCACAAATAGGGCATGTAATATCGGAAGGTTTTCAATTCCGATATTGGATTCCGATATTAGATCTCAATATCGGAATTCCGATATTAATATCGGAATTGAGTTTATGTGTTATAATTTTAAATATTTGGTTATATTCGTATAATTTCTCGATTGTATACAGTAAACTAATGATTTTAATCAAAATCTTTAATTTAGTACAAAATAGCACTTCTTAAAATTATAAAATTGAAGTATTTAAAACCATTTTGTATGTTATGGGTAGTCATTTCATTTTGGTAACTGATAATGGGCCAATTATGGAAATGGACTAGCAAAGAATTTAACGGTTTTTGTAAAACAGGTATCAAACAAACTATTACTCCTTCAACCAATACTGGCGGAACGATTTGTAGAGTCATTCAAGTCACATGTTACAAAAATATTAGACAGTGGTAAAAAACTTGAATATGCTTGTAATTTGTTCCTTTTTGATGATCGATGTACAACTCACAAAACCACGGGGCGTCATCATCATCATTATTTCAACCATATGACGTCCACTGCTAAACATAGGCCTCCCCCAATAATTTCCACAATGGCCGGTTGGTGGCGGCCTGCATCCAGCGCCTTCCTGCTACCTTTATGAGGTCGTCGGTCCACCTTGTAAATGGCAGCCTTATGCTGCGCTTTCCGGAACCTTGCTGCCCCATCGGCCGTCAGTTTTGCTTACTAGGGCAGAATCGCTGGAAGACGTCGGCACAATGCTCGAAGACCTAATCGAGTCTCCCAACAGGTAGGCCTTGGACATGGACAAAACGAAGCTTATGACCATGTTCCGTCCTACCTATTTTCGGTTGGGAGCCTGATTTTCGAAATTGTTGACAAGTATGTCAACCTCGGATAAAGGATTCAGCTAAGTAGATTCAATTTCGAGAAAGCGGTAAATCGTCAAATCCTACTCGGCTGGGCCGCGTTCGGGAAACTACACAATATCTTTTCGTCCAAAATACCTCAGTGCTTAAAGACGAAAGTCTTCAAACAATGTGTGTTACCAGTGATAATATACGGCTCGGAAACGTGGCCTCGCAAAGTTGCACAGCGTGCTATGAAGAGGGCTGTGCTTGGTGTTTCTTTACGAGTTCGAATCAGAAATGAGAAGTCCTGTTTACGAACTAAAGTCGCTGACATAGCCCGACGGACCAGCAAGCTGAAGTGGCAATGGGCAGGGCACATAGTACGCCGAACTGACGGGCCATAGTCCAATTTTATTAATGTTTGGAAGGGAGTTGAGATGTCGTTTTTCATTGCTAAGACCAAGTACGGCAAGTGCTAAAATTGTTTAGAACATTTTATGGTTAATAATTATTTGCAGTGGGACAAAAAGTGATGTTGAGAGACATGAGAAAATCATTGGTCTTTGCCAATCATGTACTTTGAGCTTTGTAGCAGGTTCTGGCGCGTTTAAACGCTTTGTTTAAAGTCTCAATTAAAACCTTTATCTGATTCCGATATTACGATATTGGGTCGCTCAATATCGGAATTGTAATATCGGATCTCGTCTTCCGAGATTCCGATATTACGAGATTCCGAGATTCCGATATTCATGCCCTACTCACAAACCGACAAACAAATACCGTATTATATAAGCAAGCCCTAAATTGAATATTATACCAATTCTAAAATTCTTGAGCGAAAAATATTTATAAGCCAGTGGTTACGTCGAGCGTTTATACTTGTACCCTTAGCACGAATACAAATTCTTTTTATGGTAGTTGTTTTTTTGTATGAAAATCAAAGTTTTAGTTTAAGGAAAGTCTTATTAGGTTTGAGTTTTTATGAATGTGTACCTATTGCATAGCTAATCATAAGTTAACCATATGCGCTCCGTAGTTTCGGTTCGATGAAATTAGGTGATAGATGTTTAATGAATCAAACAATTTATCATTTTTTATTTAATCAAATGGGTTTCTTACACAGTACCTTACATATATACGTATGTACTTAATATTTATACAAAATCGGAGGTAGGGGGGGTGCCTTAGGACTTATGACGGGGGGTGATCGCCCCGGGTGCCAACCCATGCTACGCCGCCACTGATAAGAACAACACCTTCTAAGGTTTTTTACAATAACAATACAATTTGACAGAAATATCTGCTACACAATCACTTTGCCCGCGATAAAGATTCAGCCGACTGATGGTCCCGGAATTAGCCCAAACTCCTCGTTCGCTTCGCAAAGTGCCATCAAATATGCCGCCACCAGGATTCGCTTCCACTGCAACCCTGAAAGTACTTCCATGCACATCTCTTACCATCGATACATCCAATATGTTCTTGATACTCAATTTATGACATTGAAGGAACCTTACTAGAATGCTGTTAATAGATTGTATCAAGAATTTTGCTGCTTTAATTCTAGTTTTGTGTCCAGCCGGTAACTGTTTGCCTTTATAGCAAGTGCACCAATGGTCACTAATGCCAACATATTCACATGTTCTGTCCTTGGAGACAGGTAAGAAAAGGCTGGATTGATTATCATACAAGCCACTTTCGCTTCGTTTGTCAATATCTTCATCATTTAGAAGTGTCGGATCTAAAAGATCAATGAGTGTAGCATGCATGTCGAAGGGTGTTGTAAGTCGATGAGCGTTTGTTTGCAAGTTTTTATATGCCAGCTTGTAGAGACTTTTAAATTGATATGGCAAAAGTATTTCAACTAACGGTAATCGTTCTTCTTGTCTACCTTGCTCAGTTTGCACAATTTTCCCCCAACGCATTCCATGGTCACTTAAGAAAATTACTACAGTTTCATTAAGATAGCCACTGCTTTCTAACTTTATCAAAAGATTTAAGTATTGAGAGTCCATTATATAAGGGTAATTAAGTTGCTCGTGACTAACAGATTCCTCCCAAAATATTCCGAATAAATTGTTGTCTTTCAAATTTCTAGATAGACCATAAATATAATTCAAAAGGGTTTTGTAATACATTTTATTTTGATAACACATATGGTAATTATAGAATTTATTCTTGAATAGTGTTCTCGATTCGTACATGAATGGTAGCAGATAATAATCGGTTGGCAAATTGTTTAGATTGTATTCGTATGCACCTAAAAGTCCTGCCATGCTGTCTGATCCTAGAGCCGTAACATACCCAGACCTTTTGTATTGATCCCAAACGAATGGACCCATGTTAGTGTCAATAGTATTGTTATATTTATAAATATTCTCATCTTTAAAAGACTTTCCTAGCAATAATGGAAATAAATTAGGGAATGAATTATCGCCCAACTTGTTGTAGCCTAACAGCTGGACACTTCCTCTGTCTCGTAAAAATTTTGCTGTCCCAGGCATAGTTCTAAGAAAATTCATACGCGATACACTTTCTAGGCCAAATATCATGACATTGAATTTATTAGACACTTTTCCAGCTATCGTTTTTGTATTCTTCATAAAAATGAAGAAGTCGGTGTAAAATATACTGTCTAAATAATAGCACTCCACTCTAACAAATTCGTGACGTCCTTCTATGGTGTCCGAAAATTGTATACAGCTTTCGTAGACTATGTCTTCCATGGATTTCTTGGCGTAGAAACTCTGGTAGCAGCAATAGAACTGTGCCTTTTCCATAACATTATAATGCTCTAAAGCTGCCTCTTCAATTATAATGTGAGATTCATTAGAAATTAGAAGTGGATACGATTTAGCACAATCTATTGTCTTCTTTGGTAACCCAACTAGATCTTTTATATTTTCGCTAATTAGTGGAAACGCAGGAATAATACATCCTTCGGTAAATATTGCGAAGGCTTCGCTGTTACTTAGTGTACTTTCTATTGAAACAATTAAATAATATAAAAATAGTGCAAATAGTACAACCATTTTCCGACTTTTCCAATTGATTCTTAGTTCTTTTGTGACGGACCACGTCCTACCTTCGGCTACAGGTACCTTCGGCTTCTAGTTTTATAAATATCCTACATTTAGAAACACTTTACGTTCAATGATTGCATCAACAAGCTCTATTATGTTTGTAAACGTTATGTAAAAGTTTCAAATTTGGCAAAACTATCACAAAATTTCTTGACGTCTTATTTATTTTAGCGATTTGGGTTTACTAAGTTAGTTTCGAAACTTTCGGTTTTCAGAAATAGTTTTATATAGGTAATTCAAAACAAAACCTAAAATTAACTATCCGCAAACTTTTTAATCTAACGTCTTATGAAAACAAAACCTTACTTTGAAAACCAAATGGGCAAACCGAACTTTCCGAAAACCTACTTTTTAACTTGAGAGTAAAAAACCAAACTCTCAAAACTTAATTTTCCGAATACTTACCTACTTACTCAACCTTCTGAAAATCCACCTTCTAACCTAACATGTCAAAACAAAACCTAACTTTAAAATCTGATTTTTTCTATATTCTAATTTTTTAACATGATAATATCAAAATAAGATCTAAATCTGAAAACTTAATTTTCCGAATACCCAACATTCTGAAAAGCTAATTCCTAACTCTTTGAAAATCAAACTTTCAAAAATAAAAAAAAAACCTAACTAACTCCAAATACAAATTTTCCGATGGTAAAAACAAAATCTAACCCTGAAAAATTAATTTTCGACAGCCCAACTACCGTGGCCCAACGTTCCAACACCCTAACTTTGTATCCTGTCAAAACAAAACTTAACTCACTGAAATCCGAATTTTTCGAGAGCCCAACTTTCTAACATAATCCAAATATAAAAAAATGAAACTGAAAGATAGTTTTCCGTTAATTGTCCGAAAACTTAGTTTTCCGAATTTAAAAGTACTTATCTGAAAACCCTAATTCTCTACGCTAATAATTATTTATCAAAACAAAATCTAAATTATCTAAAAACCTCAATTGTCTCTGAAAACCTAGCATTCTGACCAACGAATTACTCTGAAAATGTAATTTTCCTAATACCTACTTAATGTACTGGAAACCTATACTTCGTGTTAATTATCTAAACTAACAGCGATAGGCTTTCTTGTAAATAAAATGTAGAAGTACCTATTATTGAAAATTGTATACCTAATGTAATTCCTGAAAAAAAAAATCATTCATGCTTTGACGGACGGAATCTGGGTAGCTTTACTGGGTTTCGCTTAGTGAGTCAGGTTATGTAGTTACAAAAAATGATTGTCTAATAAAATTATATTTTTTATTTCTTGGCACAACTTGTCTATGATACAAATGTTTCTTTACTAGCTACTAACAGTTATTATTTTAATCTTAACATCTAATCTTAAATCGTACTAACAGTAACAGTGACACATCACAAAATAATATGTATAATATTATGTACAATTTATCTAATAATTCCGTTATTACTTAGCCTACATTACACCACAACACAACTTATACAAGTCTCTAAAAGAATGGACGAATAATCATCTACCTTTAGTATAATTTAATATCTTTTAGGTCTTCTTCTTAGTTTATTAGATTTGCTTAAATCATGATGATATGACACTGCAGTGTAAATCTTCAATTATTGTAATATTCGTTGTAATTACAAATCTAAAAGAATCTTAAAGATTTGCTAAATTTCAATAAAATCAAATAAAAATAGCGACGACAGTAATGCAATATTACAGGCATAGCGCATAACTAAGTTCTCGGGTAGTGTAGCGGTTATGTGGAGGGTGTTTTTGGACGTCAAACGCCAGCGTGACTTCAGATTTGTTTCAGATAAAATAGTGACAGCTTTGATACGTCCGATTCACATACAGTACCTCTAGCATGAACAACTTTCATCTTCGAATCGTTTGCGTACTCGATAAAATTAGATACTCAATCTTCGAATTAAACGATAACGTGACAATTTTGATTCTCAAAATAAGTTTCGTGCAACCACATCTCATACTAAGTTCACTTTACGACACGTTCACAAGGGCGCTGTTGTAGTTTTCTTACTAAATCTTTTGATGGCGATTCGAGTACGCAAACGATTTGAACTCGAAAGTTTTTCGTGCTAGGCGTACAGGAACCTAGTTACCTATGCCTGTTGTAGTAATAAGTATACAATTATTTTAAACACAAAAATATACCTCTACTTATACTACATAATAACAATTACTAAGTCTTGATCTAATAATCGTAATATCACAGTAGTTTGAATTGATCATTGTGTTGTTTACTCGATCTCATTAGAATGTATGTTACGGAAAAGTAGAGGTTGTCAATATCAATATTGTGATAAGGAATTAAAAAAATCGAGTAAACAAGTNTTAGTTTTCCGCAACATGGCGAGGGTTTTTATGTTCCTGGTCAGGCTATAATATCTTTTAGGTCTTCTTCTCAGTTTATTAGATTTGCTTAAATCATGATGATATGACACTGCAGTGGAAATCTTCAATTATTGTAATATTCGTTGTAATTACAAATGTAAAAGAAACTTACCTACATAATAAGATTTGCTAAATTTGAATAAAATCAAATAAAATAGCGACGACAGTAATGCATTATTAGAGGCATAGCGCTTCTAAGTTCTCGGGTAGTGTAGAGTAGCGGTTAGAGGATTTTTGACGTCAAACGCCAGCAAGACTTCAGATTTGTTTCAGATAAAATAGTGACAGCTCTGTTACGTCCGCTTGCGTCCGCTTCACATACAGGTAGGTAGCTACTCAGTTATCTATGCCTGTTGATATACAATTATTTTAAACACAAAAATATACCTCTACTTATACTACATAATAACAATTACTAAGTCTTGATCTAATAACCGTAATATCACAGTAGTTTGAATTGATCATTGTGTTGTTTACTCGATCTCATTAGAATGTACGTTACGGAAAAATAGAGCTTGTCTATATCAATATGTGATAAGGTATTCAGGAAAAATCGAGTAAACAAGCACTTTGATTATGTATCTATTTAATGGCAATAACAATAAAGCTTTAATTGGTAATGTTTGACGCAGTGACTCTGGTCTCCATAAAGGTTGAGGCGGCTGACGGTGCCTGCGAGTGACCACGCGTCCTCCTCGTGGCGGAGCGTGGCCTCGAACACACCAGCGCCCGGCATCGTCCTTACCACCACCATCACCTCGCGCCAACCCTTCTCGTTCTCACGAGGCTCTCCCACCACCAACTCTGTCGCTTCCAAGACGTCCACTAGCGTCAGATACGCACACTGAGGCTGATCCCGCACCAACATATTCAAATGTTTTACCAAATAATCAGCTGCTTCCTGAGCTTCACGGCTTTTTGTTAGCATCTTCGTGATTTTATGACAGGTGCACCAGTGATCATCTATTCCTGCTATTTGGCAGGTCCGGTTGGTCGGTATTGGCAGGAATAAACTAATACTCTTGGCATGGCTGTATTTAGTTCTACTACGATATTCTATTTTGTCATCATTTAGATCATCCGTATACAATAAATCCTTTAGTGTAGCGTGCATATCAAAAGGCGTGGTGAGTCGGCGGCTGTTTTGTAATAAATTGTTGTACGCGAGTCCATACATCTCTCTAAATGAAGGAGGCAATAAAATATGAACGAACGGTAGTCGTTCTTCCAAACGACCCTGTTTAGTATAGCGGATGTCACCCCATCGAATACCATGATCACTCAAAAGTATGAATATTGTGTTATCTAAATACTGAGATTCATCCAGACTCTTAAAAAATTTTTCGTAACTCTCATCCATTACCATAGGATAGTTTAAATAATCATGGCTTAACGTAACTTCCCAAAAAAATCCAAATAATTTGGAAGACTTTAGTGTTCTTGTCAAAGCTTGTACATAGTCCAAAAGAACTTGATAAAAATATTTGTTTCCCATACAAATGTAGGTGTTGTAATCTTTTTTATTGCCTACGTGAATTTCAGCTTCATGCATAAAGGTACGCGTGTAATAATCGGTGGGAGTGCCAAAGAAGCCAACTTTTCCAAAATTGAATGTCCCTAGCTTGGCGCTATCTTCACCCAGGGCAGTGTAATATCCGGCGTCCTTGAACAACTCCCAAACGAACGGGCAGTTGTCAAAACTTGATCTGATATGTGGCCAGCAAATTCTTTTCAAATCAGTATCTTTGACTCCCATTAGCATAGGAGTTAGATTAGGGAATGTGTTGTCGCCAACTTTGTTGTAGCCAAGTAATTCTATAGCACCTTTAGATTTTAAAAATGACAAAGTTTTCGGCATGGTTCTATAAAAATTCAACCTAGATATTGCATCGATGCCCATGACCACAACGTTGTAGTATGCTCCTGAACGATTACGTGGAGTGTCTGAGGTGTCTTCATTAAATGTCATCATAGGCTTTTTGGGCGCAAATATAAAAAATTGTGTGTAAAGTGCTGTACTGTCATATCCGCAAGTGACTTTTACAAATTCATTTGCAACTTCAATATAACTATCAAAAACTATACACAATTCATATTGTACTCTATCGTCTACATCCATCGAAGTAATATCGCTAATTGCTGTCGGCCGGTAAAATGCTCTGTAACAACAGGTTACGTTGAGATCTTTAGGTATGTCGTAGTATTGTAGATTTTCATTCTTTACCCATATATGAGTATCATTATTATCTAATAGGGATGTGTTTGCATAGCGACATTGTGGAATATCAGGATGTTTAATGAATTTCTTGACAGCTCCGTCAAAGGGTTTGAGGCCCGGTATGGTACAGCCGGGCGTCTTTATGGTGAAAGTTTCTTCCTCCTCTGCTAGAGTATGACGAGCTATGGAAGACGTGGGAGTTTGTTCGTTAAGAAGAAGGATCGTTGTGGTGTTGTTGATCGTGAGGAGGAGGAAGGCGCCTCCGCATATGGTAGCCAGGAGAAATAGGTACCTGAACCGAACGGGAAACGAGCGCCTGCCTGGGCTCTTGGCCGACTGACCCATGCTGAAACAAAGTTAAACGCATGTTTGACGTATTTCTTCTCCTATCACAAATGTTATGAACATATTTAAGACACTATTTAAATCAAAGATGTAACGGCTAAATAATGTAATAATAAATAAATAAAAAACAGATTAAAATTACGGTTTTGCGATGAGAAATCTTTTGATTTACACTCTACATGGTTTCTCACTTTCCCCTAACACTTTAATTTTCTTCTAACCAAGCCTTTTTATCTACATCTACCACTACTCGTATTATTATTACACTCGAATACAATTTTTAGTTCTCTAATAGTAACAGCAACTATTAAAGAATGAAGCATCAAACAGGTAGGTACTCGTAAGTTTTACAACAAGTAACAATAGGAAGTTAGTTGGATGAATTTTGTTTCGTTTAGTAAAATACTTAAGATAGGCAAAATATTTAAAACATTTTGTGTAGAATTAGTGAAACGTAAAAATTCTAAAGGCAATTGAACAGTAATTCTGGAATTTGAAGCCCTAAAAATATACGAGTATATCGTGCTCTACCTATGAGGTTAAAAATAGAAAATCGTCAAAGAATATGGAATAAGAGTAGATCAGCTGCCATTACTTTATTTGTGAGAACCCTTTTTCCTCATTATGAAAAGTGTTCTCTGTAATTAATATTTTGATCTGAATTTTCATAATTTATTATTTTTATTAAATGGCTGTTATAAGTCTATGATTAAGTGGTAAAATAAGTAGTTAAAGAACTTCAGTTCATAAAAACTATTGACTATAATATGACTTACCTATAACAAGATTTATGTAGATAATTTTAACGATCACTAGAGGTGTTGAATAACTCTATTGAATTTAACAGAGAAACGACAACACTGTCCTTATACTTAATTCTTTTTAGTTCAATCCATCCATAGTGTACATTTAAGTCAATAAACATTTTCAATTCAGATATGTTATTGTGACCGGTCGTCATTTTTGTTTTTTTTTAATTCAACGTGCCCGAGTTGTCACCACTACTAGTTTGGAAACATTGGATCACATCGTCGACTAGTGTTATGAATACGAGCACTCGTGTTATTCGTGAGTTCGACGGATTGACGAGAAAACACTGGGACCAGGGATAAGGGCAGGCAGGTCGGAGGCTGCGCGCATGCGCCTCGAACCCAATAGAGGGCACATCCCCATCTATCTGTCGAGTATATTGCAATTTATAGAAATTGCTAAGGCTTCTGCTAAGCCTTGAGCCATATCATCGAGGGCTACTCAAACATGTCAAGTGGAATTACAAAAGCGCTTCGTGGCACTTTACAGCGGCTCTATCTTTCATTTTAGTAGTTAGGTACCTATGCTACGAGTAGTAGTTACGAATGCTTTTTAATTAAAAATGTTTTGGTTTATTTTTTGTTAATTGGCCATTTGTAAACACACGTTCATTACTAACGATTGCCTTTTTAAGTCTCGCGCAGGAACACCATTCCAGGTCGATATTAGCAGACTGGCACGTTCTGTTCCCGGGTATCGGCAGAAATAAACTTATGCCTTTCTGCTTCGTATAGTGAGACCGCGTCCTATCCAGCACTTCCTCGTTACTTATCGCGTTTAAGTTGATAAGATCAATAAGTGTTTCGTGTATGTCGAAGGCTGTCGTGAGACGACGACTATTCGTTTTCAAGTTCTCATATGCTAATGGATATTTCTCACTAAACGTCGGCGGCACTAAAATGCTCGCAATAGGTAGTCGCTGTTCGAATTCGCTTCTTTTTGTCAAATGTATATCGCCGTATTTTATACCACGGTCACTTATCACAAAAACAAATGTCTCATTTAAATACCCTTCGTCATTCAACTTTCGAAGAAACGATTCATAGTCTTTATCTAATAAATTGGGAAAATTAAGTTGTTTCCGGCTTATAGATGACTCCCAAAGTAATGCAAACAATTTAGATGGAGACAAAATTGATATTAGATTGTGAATGAATTTTAAAACGACCTTGTAGTAGTATTCGTCACCCATGCAGACGGACTCCTGTCTATTACTCTTTAACGTATTTTCTTTCAAAAAGGGATGTAAATAATAATCTGTTGGCTTGTCAGCGAAACCAAATTTTTTTGTCTTGAAAATGCCGGATTTTGTTGTATCTTCTGCAAGAACGGTGTAATAGCCGGAATCTTTGAATCTTTCCCAAATATAAGGGCAGTGGTCTAGGGTCGTCCGGGCGTTGGGCCAACACGTGTGGTTCAGCTCCTGGGTGCTCATGCCAACGATGGCCGGCATCATGTTTCGGAAAGTGTTTCCTGCAACTATATTGTAGCCAAACAATTCAATACCCTCTTTTTCCTTGACCAAATTTGACGTATATTTCATAGTGCGATGAAAATTTAACCTTGATATAGAACTCAGTCCTAATACCACTACATTATACTCCGACTGATTGTCTAGCGATCTGAAAGGGCTTGGTCTTTGATGTGTGAACGGCTTTTTCACAGGGAAGACGAACATTTCGTCATAAATAATGTTCGCTCTATAGCTGCAAACAATTTCTATGAACTCGTGCTTTATCAATAGTGGATCGCTGAAACAAACACAGCCTAAACTTGAACTTTCGTTTCTCACATCATTTGAAAGTGCTGTTAATTTTCTATAACAGCATTTAAAATTCGAACTATTTACAGCGTGATAGTAACGTAAATTTTCTTTTATAATCCAAAGATGTGTCCCGTTATTTTTTATTAAAGGGTGCCGATTTTTTGGACATGGCTTTAAAGAAACTGGATACTGATACACATCCCAAATGGAGTTTTGGGAATAGGAAACATAAGGTATAGTGCAACCTTCATTTTTGATAATATATTTCTTGCCATTCCATTCCATATTCTCGGAAGATTCTTGTGAAGTTTCATTGAGGAAAAGGATTGCGGCTGATGTAGTTTGACTCAGATGAACTCTTAACAGAATAACAAAAGAAATTATAATGCTAGTTATCATAATTTGTACACTTAGATTTAAGATTTTGTCGTAAATATTCCGATTTATATTATTTTTAATTTAATTTTCAAGTTACGTTACGAGAATTAGCTGCTGAATGTGAACTACTGTTTAAAATAGCTTTATTAACCAACTACGATGATCAACTAACCTGTCCACTAGGAACGTCGCCTAATCTTGGGTTTGTTTTGGAGATTCTCCGAGTTGCACAAATGCGGCAGTCAACACCGGATGGTCACAGCGAAAACGTTCCGAAAGTTGTTTTCAAACATTTCGTGTTTTGAACTTTAATTGCTACTTTAATGGGCTTGTTAGTGTTTGCAAACCATAGGTACATGGTGTGTGGAGGGTTTTTTAAAACTAACCACTGCAATCGTTAACCGAGCGAGCGCGCTGCACCACGGAAGCAGTTAGTCGATGCTATTTTTATTTTTCTGATAAACTTTAATAGGTCCGCAGCCTTTGAGCGCACGAAAGGTTTTAATCAACCGGTCCCTAGACTGAATCTAGGTAATTACGTAAGGGTTGATTTGTTCCATAATTGACGCTGTATCATTCCGTAATCTTAGGAATATTAGAGGGGCGAGTAAACTACATAGTTTCATTATAACGGATCCGAGATTAGTTTGGGTTGGATAAATTAAGGTATTTTATGTTGTTCAAGATTTTGATTCCAATATCATAACAAGATTTAGATATTGCAAACTAGAATTGACTCTATGTTGTTAAAGAAAATCCGTTTTTTGGGTGGCACGTGTCGGCAATAGAGCCTTCTAAATATTCATCAATGTTTGGCTGTCAAGACTTATTTAACCTCTTAAGGCGGCGACATGCTCCGTTTTAGATCTCACTATCACTTATGGTGAGAATGAGGTCAAAAAGATTTTATCTCGGAAATTTTCAAGTAGGTAGGTACACTCGTTTGATATTCACAATCGTTGGCATTTTTGTCACCGTAATTGATAATGAATGGATTAATGCCCATGAAACAGTTAGGTATCAAAATATTGACTCTATTTTACTTACAAGGGATGATAATATATGCATATGGAAGTTATTTTAATTAAACACACAAAACACATCTTCACCAGTTAACTTAAATACAATCACGGGTTAACTAGCTCAATTTTCTTTTAAAACAAAAACAATAACAACATTGTTGAAGATGTTTTACTTGAAACAAAATATTCTATTGTAACCTGAATCATGTTTTGTAGCATGGTTATGCATGGAATTTGTAAACAGTACCGACCTATAGAGGTATATTCATTAAAATTTTTTTTTAATACATTCATTGTCGGTCACAGCTGATAGTTACCCTCATTGATTTTATAAGTAGGTGTTTAGTGACGCTAAATACGTGTAAAGATTCTTGCTCTACTCTACATTAACAGCACAATCTTTTTAACTTATTTATTATTAGTAGGACTACATGGATGATTTATAGTTGACCAACAGCAAGAGGGCCAAGCAAAAAAGGGATACTTAGGGGACTTTGAAAGTATGTAACCCTAAGTAAATTAAAATTTACAACTTTCAAGAGTGTAGGGGAGAGTGGGCCGCATCACGCATGCGTGCCGGCGCCGGTGACGGCGAGTCGCGTTTCACCTCTACACGAAATATACTCACACCACAAGACTTTCGTTCTTTTACATTTATTCAAACAGTTTTATTGTCCATTTGTCGCATAAAAGATATGAATGAGGACCACTTCGTTCTCTCTCGAGGTAAGAAATTTTTATTATTTTACGATCAGGCTCCGTGGAAATGTTGGAAAATCGATAATTAAATAACATAACCTTTAGCTGGGTATTTTAATGTCACATCAGCAATACAAGGACATTGAAAATATGATTGGATTCGGTTATAATATGTTTTATTCAGTGTTCCTAGGAAAATATTGAATTCAAAAGCTTGTTCATACATCGGCTGTTTTGCTTATGGCATTTTTGGAACGCGTATCACCATGGTAGCGTTTATAGTGTAGGTACCTTTTTGAAAGCATTATGTAGGTAATAGGTATGTTCCGATCTTCGGACAGTCTAATTTGAGACAGTGATTTTATTGTAAACAGTATTGAGATCTTTAATCTAGTTTTACCGCAATGTATTAAACTCTACTAGTTGTTAAAGGCGGTATTGTATTATCATTTGCAGGTTCTAATCCTTCTGTTCCTGACCCTGATCCCGTGGCCGGGGCCGTCAGTCTTCAAGATCACCTGCTCACGTGACAACTCCAAAATCGTGCGGAAAGTCATACAAAACAAATGGCTCCCTGTTTTAGAAAGATTTCAGGTGAGTATTTAGGTGCAAACCTTTTGAAGTACATTTTCTTGTTCCTAATAGTTATAATTGGATTGACGCAAGTTGCTACTGGCTGAGGTAATACAAATATTATTCGTGTAGATTTTTTTTCCGGTAAAATTAGAGAATTGTTTGAAAGTACTAAAGGCTAACTTGAAGAATGATAAGAATTGTATATTATACACTTCAGAGATGTATAGCTTAACGGGTCCTCAGCATTTGCATTAGGCATAGCCTGGTCCGTTTTTAAAACAGAAAAGCGTTCCATGTGCATAATTCTGGAAGGAAGTCTGGAAACTCTAAGATGCATGAGCCTTGAATACCAAAGGGAACATCTGGAAAGTCTAAGATATGTTGAACCTCGGATTGGGGGACATCTATAGTAACTCTAGGATGCAATTAACCTTGAATTGTAAGATGTTTGAAACTCCAAGAAGCATGAATCTCGAATTGAAGGCATTTAGAAACTTCAAGACGCATTGACCCTCAAGTTAAGTGATGTTTTCAAGATTCATGTATGTATACTCGAATTGGGGGATGTCTGGTAACTATAGCAGAACCTAGCTTTTACTACCAGGTAAAGATCTTCGAATTGGGGGAGATCTGCAAACTCATAAATACACTGATGCCCGCTTTCACCATCAATCCCTAATTTTTAAGTGAAACCTCTATGAAAACAAAATTCCTGTTATGTTTTACCATAGGGGTCACTTAAAAATTAAGGACAGTGAAAACGTGCATGAATCTCTAACTGGGGTGACTCCAAGATGAACTTGGCTTTTATTCCCAGGTGAAGTGCGTTAATCTAGCTTTTGTTCCCAGGTGAAGCTACCCCTGGAGTGTCCATTCCACCCCGCACGCGATATCTTCGCGCCGCAGCACGCCGCCAAGCTGCAGCACCGGCCGTCGCAGTGGACGTGCGCCTTCTGCGGCAAGTCGTTCTACGAGGAGCGACACCTCGACACGCACTTCGACCAGCGACACAAGAACCAGATTAACAAGGTCATTGTACGTTACGTTGATTGTTACACGGTTTAGTATTTGTGAGAAGGATGGACACTTCGTTCAAGCGTTAGTAGGACTCGTTATAACGTCCGGAGGGCACATCAAGCTAAATCCCTTAGCATCTTATGCAAGTGCTATTTTTGCATCAAAAATGTAGAGTCTGATATGCTTTCGAGAGTATTTACGGCCAAAGCTTTGCGGGTGCTGACTTCATTAGGGGTCCCCTTAACCGAATACACCTCATACAGTTCAATAAGAGATTTATACTAATGCTCAAATTATGCATGCAGATGAGTATGCTTATTTCCACTTCACGATCACGATGTTTGATTTTTTACACTGTTTTGTACTTGATGCTCAAATACACATCATATTGTATTTTCTCTTAAACTCGAATATACCCAATATTCGAGAAATAAATGACTTAAATGATGTCTCAGGCGGAGGACGCAGTATGTCTGGCGGACTACTGCGACATCATGCGGTGCCAGGTCCTGGTGGCGCACGGCCTCCTCAGCGGCGGCGGCGGACCAGGCACCGATATTGAGGTATTATTTTTATTTACATGTTTATGGATGTATTGTACACACAAACAAAATTGTTAGCGATAGGTTATTTTGAGCTTCCTTTACCTTGGAATACCATTTGCCCTTGATTGAAAAGTACAAGGATTATTTCCGTGGGCAAATCTTTCATGCTTTTCTCCACAAACACGTCACTGTTTGTGAATAAAAAATATCTTTATTCTGTTCAGCGTCTTGCGTTGAATCAGAGTAAATACAAATGAGTAGGTCATCTTCATAGGAACGCACGTGCGCGGTTTGTAAGTGAGCGCGTCAAATACGTATGCGGCGCACACGCACACACAAAATTTGGCGCACCTCACCGCTAATCACCGCTAAATTTTGTAATAGCGCTCGGTGCGTTTCTATGAAGATAACCTACTCATGTGTATTTACTCTGGTTGAATTGTATGACCTGGATTCCGATGCCAATAATTTTTTTTCTTGACTACGGTTATGTTACAAGGTGTGGCAAGACCTGGAAGCGGCGAGAAAGGCGCTCGCCCCAGCGGCAACTCGGAGCGTGGCGCGAGTGCCGCAGCGGAGACGAGCGCGGGCGAGGCCCGAGCCGCCGCCCGCGCAGTCTATGAACCCGCCCCGCGACTGCCCATCTAACGACCCAGACGCTGATGAGCCAGGTATACTATTGTAACTAGGTGTGGCAAGACCTAGAAGCGGCGAGTCTTAGTGCCGCAGCGGAGACGAGCGCGGGCTAGGCTTAGCCGTCGCCCGCGCAGTCTATGAACCCGCCCCGCAACTGCCCCTCCAACGACCCAGAATCTGACGAGCCAGGTATACTTATGTCTCTAGCTGTGGAAAAATCTAGAAGCGGCGAGAAAGGCGCTCGCCCCAGCAGCAACTCGAAGCATGGCGCAAGTGCCCCAGCCGAGAAGAGAGAGCGATCCCGCGCAATCCACGCACCCCGATTGCCTGCGCAATCCACGCACCTGCCCCGCGACTGCCCTTCCAACGACCCAGACGCTGATGAGCTAGGTATACTTGTGTCTAGGTGTGGCAAGACCTGGAAGCGGCGAGTCTTAGTGCCGACCCCAGCCGCCGCGTGCGCAGTCCACGCACCTGCCCCTCCAACGACCCAGACGCTGATAAGCCAGGTATACTTATGTCTCTAGGTGTGGAAAAATCTAGAAGCGGCGAGAAAGGCGCTCGCCCCAGCAGCAACTCGAAGCATGGCGCAAGTGCCCCAGCCGAGAAGAGAGAGCGAGCCCGCGCAATCCACGCACCCCGATTGCCTGCGCAATCCACGCACCTGCCCCGCGACTGCCCTTCCAACGACCCAGACGCTGATGAGCCAGGTATACTTGTGTCTAGGTGTGGCAAGACCTGGAAGCGGCGAGTCTTAGTGCCGTAGCGGAGACGAGCGCGGGCGAGGCTTAGCCGCCGCCCGCGCAGTCTATGAACCCGCCCCGCGACTGCCCCTCCAACGACCCAGGTATACTTGTGTCTAGGTGCGGCAAGACCTAGAAGCAGCGAGTCTTAGTGCCGTAGCGGGGACGTGCGCGGGCGAGGCTCGAGCCGCCGCCCGCGCAGTCTATGAACCCGCCTCGCGACTGCCCATCTAACGACCCAGACGCTGATGAGCCAGGTATACTTATGTCTTTATTAAAAATCTAGAAGCGGCGAGAAAGGCGCTCGCCCCAGCAGCAACTCGAAGCATGGCGCAAGTGCCCCAGCCGAGAAGAGAGAGCGAGGCCCGAGCCGCTGCCCGCGCAATCCACGCATCTGCCCCGCGACTGCCCTTCCAACGACCCAGACGCTGATGACAACCCACCAACACCCATGGCCATGCCAACCTTGCGGTAGCGGTGCGCGCATTCCACGCAACCCCCCTTCAACGACCCAGATGCTGATGAACCAGGTTCAGGTATCTCTCAAAGACATCATTTCAATACGAAAAAATAGATACGAACATTCTGTGCTTTTCGGTTGTAGTCTGTCATATTTATGAAGTCTGCATACCTTGTGAAAGTTTTCGTTCAATTCAATCCTGATTTTTGATTGATTTATTGACATACTGCTTCTTCATCAAGCCTCCAAAATTTTAAGTTTTTGCTGAAGACGTAGTACCCACCTCTTCAAAATCTAGAATTCTAGAGCATGTCGATTCCCGAGTAATGGCATGTTCAAAAGCTTTTTTCTTTGTTATAATTTTTGAGTATTTTATTCTTTACGCAGACGACTTATTTTAAAATAATCAGTATCGTATGTGGATTAGAGGTGGGCGCCACGCCGGCGCGCCGCCGCCGCCGCGAATTTTTTCACGCCGCCGCCGCCGACGAAAAGCTGTCGGCGCGCCGATACTGATACTGTACAAACTATTTGAAATTTATTCCTCTCCTATACTTGTGTTTCAAACGCAGAAGAACAATTTTTTTATTGAGTTGAGCGGCTATTCTAGTTCAATAAAGTCCTAGTATCACTGCGACCGGTACCGATCTATTGTGATCGCCGCTATTTTCCTTACAGTTCGCCTCCGAGTCCTGCATCCATTAGGAATTGCAGTATCTTTTGGGGGGCGATATGTTTTACATCTTGTAGGCTTAGGATGTGTTTTCCCAGGTGTAAGCTCCGCTTGCGCATGAAAGGTGCGCAGTCCGTGGGAATGTGTAGTGGCGTTTCATCTGCCTCTTGGCACATCCTGCACGTTCTTGATTCGGACAGTCCCATGGTGGACAAGTGCTTGTTTAAGCTGCTGTGTCCAGTGAAGGCTCGAACTAAGATGCGCATTTTGATCCTACTCAGTCCTATGATCTGCTTAGAGCATTTTCGGTCATAGGCTTATAAAAGAGCTTTGGAATCAGTTAATCCTAGCGTGTCTGACCATGCCTTAAAGGATTTGTTTAAGTAGATGTTCTCCAGGGTCATTCGAGCGAGACTTTTGGGAATGCCACAAAAGGGTTCTGGGCCATATTGTGTTCCCTCCGCTTCCGCTCTGGCCAGTTCGTCGGCATTTTCATTGTCCACGATTCCCGCGTGACCTGGAACCCATCTCAGCGTTACTCTGTTACGTTTTCCTAGGGTATTCAGTCGACTCATGCAGTTTTCTACCAACTTTGAGGTGATTAAGTTGGAGTTTAAGGCCATCAGCGCGGCCAGACTGTCTGAGCTAATGTAAATTATGTGGTTGGCATAATTTTTTCGCAGATTAGCTTCCGCACATTCAATAATGGCGTAAACTTCTGAAAGATAGAGGCAAATTTGCCCAGGCTTTGAGANGACAGACGGACAGACGGACAGACGGGCAGACGGACAGACGGACAGACCGACATGACGAAACTATAAGGGGTCCGGTTTTGCCATTTTGGCTACGGAACCCTAAAAAACGTACAAAATACTTTTTCTTTTAAATTTTATTGCAATTTGCAGAAGAGATGCAGCGCGCAGTCTGCTGGTACCTGAGTTGCGACCGATACTGGGAAGAGACGGCGCCAAGTGCAAGGGCGTTCCCCTGGCCCCTCCTGCTAGCGTTAGCCACTGGCTTAGCGCTGGCTCTCTGCATGTGCTACTACATAATATGGATTGTGTTCGAGTGAGTATTCAAATACTAACAATAGTAGTAGTATAGAGCAGAAGTGATGTCAGTTTTCCTTTGGCATACATGTAGAAAAGAAGAGATGAGAGCTCTTGAAATCATGTCATTGACTGTAGTCCAGTAGAATTAGCTTTAAATCGGAAATAATTCCTACAAAAGATTTTATTGTTTTAATGGCTTCATTGGTTGCCCATTAAGACTCTCCTAAGTTTTCGACTTCGACGGAGTTGTGCTTAAGTGGTGGGGGCCCCCAAAAGAGGCATTTTTTCGGTTTTCCGGTTATACCGCNCTACTACGCTAATTGAGGACGAAAGATGCAGGAGGACAAAGTGACTGACATAGCCCACAGAATCGCTAAAATCAAGTGGCAGTGGGCGGGGCACATATTTCTTAGAGCTGATGGCCGCTGGGGCAGTAAAGTTTTTGAGTGGCGACTACGAGCCGGAAGACGTAGCGTGGGCAGGCCTCCCACTAGGTGGACCGACGATTTGGGGAAGGTCGTAGGAAGTGCATGGATGCGAGCGGCGCAGGACGTCTTTCGGCTGAAACGAAAGAACTAACGCTAAGAGAGATGGCTAAAGAAATAGCCAAAATGGACCCTAGTAAAGCACTTGCATTTGTTCTGATCACCATGAAGTCCATGGTCTTGACAATGACCACACTGAGTGAGAAGAACCTCGCAAGTCTCTTAACTTTGGAAATGATCCATAAGGCTGGCAACTCGCCTAACGAATTCTCTTATCGCTCAATTAATCTGACATTTGTATTGTTAAAATTACGGAAAAGGATCATTCTTGCTCGTTTACTCCCTTGCCTAAGTATGACCCATGTAATATAGTATACCCGACCATAAGTAAACCACTGCTTTAGTGGCTCAAACCCCAACCAACTGCAAATCACCTGATTAGTCTTGACGACAGATACTAAAAAAGCAGATTAAAAAAAAAACCTAATGAACAAAGGTCAAACAAGGTCACGCCGCCGACGCCGCCGCCGCCGAGGTCAAAAAGTCGGCGCGCCGCCGCCGGCCAATTTTATATCGGCGCCCACCTCTAATGTGGATCGAACTCGTTTTATATCTTCTCCGCTCTATTTTCCAGAAGTAGAGGAGAAAAGAACAGAAGACAACGAGGGCGACGCGAACCAAACGGCGGAACTTTGCGACGCCGACACCGTAGAGTCATCTCTACCACCTGACAGCCGCCAGAAGCGCCTTGCCGACTTGCAGGCGGAGCGCGCCGCTTGCGACCCCACCAGGCTCCAAGGCCTCAAGATACGCTGCGAGAGAGTGGTGCACTCTTGCATCGCGACGCTTTTACTTCATTTAACGCAGCATCAGTTCACTGAACTTGAAGGTGAGAATTTTTTTACCCCCTAAATGCCCGCCGCTTGCGACCCCACTAGGCTCCAGGGTCTTAAGATGCGGTGCGAGAGAGAGGTGCACTCTTGCATCACGACGCTTTTACTCCATTTAACGAACAAAAGTTCAGAGAACTTGAGGGTAAAAAGTAGGGATGTTATGGATATGTAGTTTCGGTTATGGATACGGTTACGGATATAAAAATAATATACCGGTTTCGGTTACGGTTACGGATATTTTTTTATTTCGGATATCCGAAAGTTTCGGTTACGGTTACGGATATCCATAACATCCCTGGTGAAAATAATTTATTTTACCCCCTAAATGCGCGCCGCTTGCGACCCCACCAGGCTCCAGGGCCTCAAGATACACTGCGAGAGAGTGGTGCACTCTTGCATTGCGAAAAAACGGAACACGCTACACTCGTAGTAGTGTCGTAGGCTACGACGACTCGTAGCTTTGTAGCAGACTCACCAAAGCTACGAAAAAACGTAAATAAAAAAAAACGTAATAAAAAATTTTTTCTTTATTAAATTGTAAGTATGTACCATTTGCAGAAGAGATGCAGCGCGCAGTCTGCTGGTACCTGAGTTGCGACCGATACTGGGAAGAGACGGCGCCAAGTGCAAGGGCGTTCCCCTGGCCCCTCCTGCTAGCGTTAGCCACTGGCTTAGCGCTGGCTCTCTGCATGTGCTACTACATAATATGGATTGTGTTCGAGTGAGTATTCAAATACCTACTAACAATAGTAGTAGTATAGGGCAGAAGAGATGCAGCGCGCAGTCTGCTGGTACCTGAGTTGCGACCGATACTGGGAAGAGACGGCGCCAAGTGCAAGGGCGTTCCCCTGGCCCCTCCTGCTAGCGTTAGCCACTGGCTTAGCGCTGGCTCTCTGCGTGTGCTACTACATAATATGGATTGTGTTCGAGTGAGTATAGTAGTAGGCCGAGTGTACCGCTAATTTATTTGTATAGAAGGAGTGCGAGGAAGAAATAACAACGCAAAGTTACGAGTGATAGTCGCGTCAGCCGGTAGGTATAGTGAGCGAACGAGCGTCGTGCGCTCCGCGTCGTGCATAGGTTCGGACTAGTTTGAGGTGCGGCGGCGCACGCTCGGCCACGATCGCCGAACGCTCGGCTCGAACAACAGGCGGGCGCGGTGACGTAGTAAGCGGCACTCGCAGGCGGCGAGTACACTGTGCCGCGCCGCGATAGCTACTTCGCGCGATAGATGCGCGAAGCTATAATTCGACTTGTTGGCTACTACGCGTGTGTAAATATTTGTAGGATATGAAATGTTATTTATGTATGTGTATTTAAATGTAAATCGTGCGCTCCGCGTCGTGCATAGGTTCGGACTAGTTTGAGGTGCGGCGGCGCACGCTCGGCCACGATCGCCGAACGCTCGGCTCGAACAACAGGCGGGCGCGGTGACGTAGTAAGCGGCACTCGCAGGCGGCGAGTACACTGTGCCGCGCCGCGATAGCTACTTCGCGCGATAGATGCGCGAAGCTATAATTCGACTTGTTGGCTACTACGCGTGTGTAAATATTTGTAGGATATGAAATGTTATTTATGTATGTGTATTTAAATGTAAATAATAAATGTAAATGTGTTAATGTGTAAATAAGTGTAAATATGTTTTGTATGTAAATATTAATTACTTATATTTAATTTTATTATTTAAGGTTTTAGTTTAAGTTAATTATTTATTGTTGTTGACATTTACATAAATATAATGAGTAGCCTACAATAGTATGTATAAATGCGAAAGGCAATAAAAAGAGAAGATAACAAAATCTTTAGAATTTGACCATGGAATTCATGGATATCATGAAGGTAGGAGACAGACACATTTTAGATTGGACAGCGATATACCGCTTGATTAAAACAGACTTAAGTCTGATCACTATTTTCCTATTTTTTTTTGTAAAGTTAAGGCACAAATTCTCTAAAAGAACACAAAAAATAACCCAACAATTTTTTTTTTAAAAAAAGGTGACGTCATAGTTTTCCATTGCCATACAAAATCTACGACATAGTCGCGTTTTGAGAGCTTTTCAAAAGCATGTCATTGACTGGTGTTATCAACTAGCCTATTATTCTTCCATCTTCAGCTCAGAGGAAGGCAGCATAGCCGGCAGCGCGTCGGTTTCCATGACGACGCATTCGTCTCCCACGCGCGGCGAGCGGATGGCGGGCGACGACGCGCTCGACGACCCCGATGACCACTACATTTACGTCACGTACCCGCCGGAGCTTAAGCGCCGCCTGCTCGAGAGGTACGCTCGTAACACCATCACGCTTATCGTACTCACGCCGTTCATAAGGCAGACTCGTGTCGATTAATGACGGAGGATGAATAAATATTCTTTACGCCATTAGCCACTGAAATTGTAGGGCTACTGGCTCCAAAAGTACACTCTTTACCATCTCGTGTATACGCGTAGTAGGGACTCATCAGGCCGTTCATAAGGCAAATTAGTGTCGATTAATGAACAAGAATTAATGAAAGACCGATATTTCTACACGACAAAAAAAAATTGAAATGTAGAGCTAATGGCTCGAAAATACGCACATAACACCATCATGCTTCCTACTCACACCATTCATAACCCAGACTCGTGTTGATTACATTGAGGGTGACTAGAAATGTGGAACAACTGGCTCAAGACGACCTAGAGACGTACGCCCACAGCATTACATTTATATCGTCTTAAAGCTGTTCGTAAGTCAGAATTCTTCCGTCTTATGATGAATATTTCGAAGTTTACGTCACGTATCAGCCAGAGTTCAAGTGAAGCTTATTATGTATGAGGTACGCTCGTAACACCATTTGATATTTCGAAGGTACTTTGGTGTTGTATCCAACAGGGTCTAAAAGTTGTCGGTTGTTAGTTCGACTCGATTACATACCATGCACTTAACGTATTAAATACACAATGAATACCTGAAACACCGTAGAAACACGTATAGAAAATAGTATCCACCTCACTTTAGAGTCCTTAGTTAATTGAAAATTATAAATCTTTATGGATGAGCCCTATTGGTGTTAGTTCTTTAGACATTTATTTTATGATATTATAATCATAGATTTATACTATTTACCGGTTCGACTTCAATTTTATATTATTCTAACGATGTCTACATTTCTGATTTAAGTGTCTACCTGTATTATTCAATGTTATTTGTGTGTAGTAATAAATGTCGTTTGTTTTAGCTGCTACAATAGAACGACTCGACTCTGAGAGTGGACGCGCCCGTGACGCGTCGCGCATGCGTAATTCGTACCACCACAAGTAGTGTTAACGTAGTTTAGCATCACGAACGATATGTCAACCGATCCTGTACGTTCTTGTATCGACAAAATACATTATTCAACACATTCAGCATTCTGAAAAGCAGATTTGAATAAAAATATTTCACTAATAGGTGCTCTGATTATTTAAATGAAAGATTTAAAGATGTTTAACAAAACTTCTGTTTTATTTAAATGTAGTTTGTCGATGTAAGAAGTTATAATTTCACGATGGTTATTATAACTAACAAGTCAGTCAGTACTCAATCAAGCTGAAATTTTATTTAAATATTTTTTATAATGATTATGAATTGAAAATGTCATTTCGGTGCATTTAAAATAATTTGAATAGTTACACTTTTGATATAACTCAACTTAATGTGACTAACAACTGAAATTTCAGCTCTTGAAATTAAATAGAATTACTCAATTCAACGTAGAAAATAAATCTAGTCAATGAATTCTCATTTTGCAATAATGTTTTTTATTTAGTAAGGTGTAGCTACTATCCCCCTAGACGTAGTTTGCTTTTAAACAACTGGTGCCTAATTTTATCCCTAGTTTATACATATATTATAGTATATTTTCCTTTAGGTGGAACTATCCTGTAAGCTGTTGTACATACTGACGCGTGGTTTTCTATTTATAGATCCGAAGCAGTCAATTTTTAAATTTGTTAGCGATTTGATATTTATTGGTTTTTGTTACATGTTTTTTAATTATGACAAGTTTACACAATGTTTTTGTTAAAGCTTTCAAAGGTTAATAATGTGAATTAATTACTTGTTACTTTTTAATACTGGATAATCATGTTTTAAAACGTTTTAAATTGAATATGACTTAGACTAAAGGCAGCTTAGTTAGATAAAATTCACTCCGCGCACAAGTAACCGTAACAGTTTCCAATCTATCAAATTATGGTAATGTTTTAAATATGTATTTAGTTGTAATAAAACTCAAGCCTTTTTGACAACGAATATAAAGTAAGGATTCATTTAAAATTGTTACTAACATTCAACTTTCCAATTACCTATTACATTGAATTAATTATTTTGGGATTTATTCAGTTTTCGAAATTACATTCAAGTTACGTGTGTGGTTACTTTATTACTATTGTGTGGCTGACGGTTAATAAGAGGCAGTTACGGTTACAAGTAAAGGTGAGTTTTGGGGTCAGGGCAAGGAATTTGGGCGCTTTTGTCACGCGTGATGATGTGATTAGCAAAATACTAAATTGTAATTGTATATAAATGTAATTTTTCACTAAACAATGAATCTATCTTATTAGATAAAGATTAAAACGATAATCTAATATCCAAATAAAAGTTCTGTAATAAAAGTGTAATGTATATTTAGATATTATGCAACACATTTACAAAGGCTGATGCTAGTATACATTGATTTATAAATGTAACATTGAAGTACATTATTTACAAGATCTCATAATTTTTTATAAGATACTAGCATCAGCACTTTGAATATTATTAACCCAAAGGTACAAGCGACTAGAAAATTAATTGACTTATTAAATTGACCGCTTTTTCTCTGTTTGTAAATGCTTCAAAGAGACTGAAGGTAAAGCATAATTAGGCAAAATATACCTATTACAATTTTCAAACTCACGTAATCTTCTATATTCATGAGCACCTTCCATTTTGTTTGTTTATAAGATGTAACATAAAATGTTTGTTAAATAAAATTCTGAGATAAAACGACTTTACCTATTTATTTAAAATGTTTACAAATTCGCAGTCTTCAAATAATTAAATGTACAAAATCGAAGAATAACTTATCCTAATAACAATATAGCTTCTAAAATCCGTAGCAGCATTAAAAGACAATAAAATGTTATATTAATAATACAGTAATACATACACATAAATATAAAGATAAACAAGAGTTGGTGTCGATGTCGAGGTAATCTGTTAATATTATTAACATTCTATACAACATAAATGCTTGTCAAAATCAAAGTACTGATTAATTGTCATTGGGATTATTTAACAGACAACATTTAAATTATGTTTTGTTTTTGTTTTGTAGATAAAAATCCGTTAAATGCATTTTTTTGCGAATGTCACCGCAATCGATTGGGGGAATGTTAATTTGCCCGTAAATTACCCGTGACTATAGTGATACCTATTTATCGAATATAACAACAAAACTATCTACAACAAAGGCACATACATTTGACCTTTACCTTGGCCACATATAGGTACTTGACGCCTTTCCACATGTTTTTCCCTTCTAAGAGGCACTTACAGTGTCATTTTATCGAATTTACAACAACACTATCTACAAAAAGGGCACATACAGTGACATACACACTAATTGCTTACTTTGGGGCTAGATGGCGCTGTGTGAGATTGTCCAAAGATATTTATTATTTATTTTATTTATCGAATTATACAAGAACACTATCTACAACAAGGATGAGGCTTTACCTTTGTCACACGTACTTGACACCTTTCCACATGTTATTCCCTTCTATGAGGCACTTGCAACCGCAGCCGGTGGGACACGTGTCGCGCTCCGAGAACCTGAAAATAAGATTTGATGTGTTACACTTTCATTCATAACTAATTCATTCACAAAACTCGGTCTTTTTTTTTTTTTTTATCTACAACGAGGAAGCTCTTGGCCTGTATCTCACCTGATGGTAAGTGATGATCAGGCCGAAGGTGGAAGCGAGCTTCACCCGGAATCCTCAACCACAGAGGGATTGGCTATCTTACCTCTAACTGCCGGAACACAACAATACTGTTAACATTGTTGTTATGGCGACAGACTTAGGTAAGATGGTGGTAGCTAGCCAGGCGGACTTGTAACAAGCCCTACCACCAACCAAACCGAACAGAAAATTCTGCCCCCACTGGGAATCGAACCCGGGACCTCTGCGTCGGAATCAGGTGGTCTAACCACTAGACCTAGACCACAGAGGCGGTTAAACTCTTTATTCTTTAAGGTAACAGAACCCTAAAAATTAGGAATTTCAAGATCGGTCTAGAAACACTGACATACAACCGAAGTAAATAAGTTTAGTTACTCGTACCTTCACCTAAAAAGATGTTCAACGTGCGCGTGAAAACCGACCGTAATGCAATAAGTTCGAGATCAGAATGAAGTATAGTTTAGTTTAAAGTCATTTGAGGTTTGACTAGTCAAACCCCGATTTCATTCAATTGAGTTTCGACGTTTGCCTGACCAAATTAGTTACTCCTAGGTTTGACTAACATTCTTTAGTCAAAGGCCGAAATGTTTGGGCGTTGACTAAGACTTCTAGTCAAACCTGAGGATTGACTAGTCAAACCTAGGAGTGCCGGAACTTCGAGGTTTGACTATAACACATACACAAAACTCGGTCTAAATCAAACCGGAGAGCACACAAACTAGTTGACAGGATCTGGTTTTCCAGATCTACTCAAATGGTCACACAAGCCGTTATTTGCACCAGTATCAGCTATCTACACCAGTAACATAAAAGACTATTCCTTTCTCTCGTTTCCACCTCTGCAACTCCTGTGTAGCCAGGATCTCCAGATTGACCGCCAATAAAAAAAAACATTATCTACACTAGTAGTCATATTTGTACAAATGGATCTATGATAATGTCATCTACATAATATACTACTCTTACATCGCATGTTCACAGTAGGGGCAGACGCAGGCCGAGGGTACACATGGTACATTTTTTATGTCACCTGGCCTCTCAAGTTGACTGTGAAATGAATGGTTTTCTGCAAATGGATGTCTGATGAAGTCACTGCGTTACATACCACATGGCCCCTCTGTGCACATTTCGCTTATCCAAGTAACTTGAGTAACAATCGTGTGGCCGTTATGACGATAACATAAACGCCCGTCTATTTTAATTCAGTCGCATTTACATCTTTAAACCTATCACATGTTTTACGGTTTTCCACCTTCTAAAGTGCGGTACTGTGGACTTTAATTTATAATAACGTGGACATTATGTTATAACAGTACATTGGTAGGTGACCCTGACGTGTTTAAAACTTCAAACTCCACTATAAGCGCAAGCTAATCCTCGTACTCCAAGAGTACACACGGCACATCTCAGCGCCACTCGGCCGCAAGATGTGCAAGCCGCGCCCTTGGCCAGGCGGCCGCACCAACCACAATGCTAGATTTGGTTCTATCATCTACATAGCTTACCACTTCATCATATGAGCAGCATGGCCCGTGTCCACAATAAGCGCAAGCGCAGGCTAATCCTCGTACTCCAAGGGTACACACGGCACATCGCAGCGCCACTCGGCCGCAACTTGTACAAGCGGCGCCCTTGGCCAGGCGGCCGCACCAAGCACAAATATCATCTACATAGTTTACCACTTCATCATATGCACAGCATGGCCCGCGTGTCCACAGTAAGAGCAAGCGCAGGCCAGCCCTCGGACTCCAAGTGTACACACGGCACATCTCAGCACCACTCGGCCGCAACTAGTGCAAGCCACGCCTTTATACAGGGGGCCGCACCAACCACAATGCTAGATTTGGTTCTATCATCTACATAGCTTACCACTTCATCATATGCGCTGCATGGCCCGCGTGTCCACAATAAGCGCAAGCGCAGGCCAGTCCTCGTACTCCAAGTGTACACACGGCACATCTTAGTGCCACTCGGCCGCAAGATGTGCAAGCAGCGCCCTTGGCCAGGCGGCCGCACCAACCACAATGCTAGATTTGGTTCTATCATCTACATAGCTTACCACTTCATCATATGAGCAGCATGGCCCGCGTGTCCACAGTAAGCGCAAGCGCAGGCCAGTCCTCGTACTCCAAGTGTACACACGGCACATCTCAGCGCCACTCGGCCGCAACTAGTGCAAGCCGCGCCCTTGGCCAGGCGGCCGCACCAACCACAATGCTAGATTTGGTTCTATCATCTACATAGCTTACCACTTCATCATATGCGCTGCATGTCCGGCATGTCCACAATAAGCGCAAGCGCAGGCCAGTCCTCGTACTCCAAGTGTACATACGGCACATCTCAGTGCCACTCGGCCGCAACTTGTAGAAGCGGCGCCTTTGGCCAAGCGGCCGCACCAACCACAATGCTAGATTTGGTTTTATCATCTACATAGCATACCACTTCATCATATGAGCAGCATGGCCCGCGTGTCCACAATAAGCGCAAGCGCAGGCCAGTCCTCGTACTCCAAGTGTACATACGGCACATCTCAGTGCCACTCGGCCGCAACTTGTAGAAGCGGCGCCTTTGGCCAAGCGGCCGCACCAACCACAATGCTAGATTTGGTTTTATCATCTACATAGCATACCACTTCATCATATGAGCAGCATGGCCCGCATGTCCACAATAAGCGCAAGCGCAGGCCAGTCCTCGTACTCCAAGTGTACACACAGCACATCTCAGCGCTACTCGGCCGCAACTAGTGCAAGCGGCGCCCTTAGCCAGGCGGCCGCACCAGCCACATTCCGCCGCTAGGGACGGGCCAGGCGGCCGCGCGGAGGCCGACTCGTGCTTGCATCTGACTAGCTTCATCACCTGTAAGGAGTATTATGATGCTGTTAGCTGTTTTATACCCGCTAGAAGTACGAAGTAGAAGAACGTTGAAGTGTGTGTACTGGTTTTGGAGTTTGCAGTTGAGTGTCAATTTGGTAGATTAAAGCCCGTTTTCACCATCAATCCCTAATTTTTAAGTGAACCCTATGGTAACATATAACAGGAATTTTGTTTGCACAGGGGTCACTTAAAAATTAGGAATTGATGGTGAAAACGGGCATAAACCTATCTTTGTTAAAATTTACTTCAGTAAGTCATCGATTGATTGAAGTTACTATACATTTAAATAACTTTAGGTCATCATAATTCCAAATGTTGTTTTAAATATCTGATGTTAAGAGTACTTAAATGTTAAATTCTAAATTGAAATTCCACTAACCTCTGTTTTTCTGTACAACAACTGCCAACGATGTAGAATATCGGCATATGCGCGCTTGAAACAGTGATAAAGATGTACTGTGACTTCGTCCAATACGCAAGACGAAGTTTTCTCCGACTTTGAAACTGTTGAATCTGTGTAGAAATTCTCAGCTTCTGAACACGAATTACTTCTAAGTACAATAGGTAGCGTCCAACCATCTGCACTGATTTCACTATATTGATTTACTGTACTATACGGTGATGTGTTGTTGTTTCCCTGTAAAGAGAAAGTAAAAAATACTTCGATCAAGACTTATTATACATTCGATCATTAATAACATTGCATTGGTTCAAACATGCTACCCTGCAGAACACCATTTTATTTGCGTTTTATTAAGTAAGTTTAAGTTATTGGAGAAATTCAGGCTGAAATGTTACTAAGCAACTTTATTTCTTTACTTACACAACTTGAGGTACTGATGGTAGATTGTGAGCTAGAATTTCCTGTGTCGTTAAACACGGAAAAGGCGCAAGCTAGCATGGCTGCCATTTGGAGATCAGATGACTTGGCGTAGTGAGAGATTCTGTGAAACAATAAAATATTACAAGGTTTATTTTTCAAAGTAGGTATTAAAATGAAAAGTTCTGTTAGCAGTCTGCAAAACAGCGCAACACAGTTCAGCTTATGCTGCAAAGGACATTCGAATACGAAACGAGCTCAAAGTTAATTTGATTATTTGTCTTAAAATGTCAGTTACCAACAGCATAATAGGTATGTATAGTTCGTTTCATCCACGAAGACGCGCGGGGTCGATGGAAACGGGGGGTGCAGGGAATTTATCAAAGTCAAAGTCAAAATTTCTTTATTTGTTTAGACTAATAAATAGTTCTTACAAATCGTCATTTTGCTCTTAAGGAGCCTCTACATGTCTCATAATCTTTTTACCCTACCAGCGCTTCGAGACCAACATTTGGCAAGTGCTGAGAAGAAGCGCCGTAACAAACTCAGTCACCACTGTCTGCCGGTTAATATAAATAAATAGAAATAGCAGTAGTAGGTACATTCGATTCAGGTGATTTGATCCGACCAATCCGAGCGTCATTGTTGGCATTGGCTTGGCAGCGTTGCAATGAGGGTTTTCGCGATTGAAAAATCCGCCAGATGGCAATACGTAGACGCGAGGTCCAAATGCTGCGTGATTGGTGGATTTTGACATTTCTGTCAATGGCGATTTTTTCAATCGCGAAAACCCTCATTGGATAGTTGTCCGTGAGTGCGCGCGCAAACTACAATGAACACGCTCGAATTGGTCGGATAATGCTTCCCGCACCCCGCGCTTCCCTCGACCCCGCGCGTCTTCGTGGATGAAGCGAACTTATATCTAATTTACTACAGCTACTTAGCTCGCAATATAAATAACTTTAANATGCAATTGACGCGCCACTATGCCAGGGTTTTTATGTTCCTGGTCAGGCTATAATGTGAATTTGAACCCTATCCTAGAACTCACAAGGACTGCAGCAGGCTGCAGCACAGCGGGTGGCCGACCCAGCCCATGCTCTCCTCGCTAGAGGCCAAGTGATCCACGATGCGCGCACGCAGCGACCGCGCCGTCAGCGCCGCTAAACCCCACGCGTGTGCAAGTTCTGATTCGCCTTCTTCCGAGCATACTTTCGCGTTCTTCTCGCACATGTCTGTATAAAACAAATAAATAGTCAACATTTTGATAGTCCGCTGGCAACTTTTTTAACAATGAAAGTCTAATAACATATTATTATACAAGGAAGACTTTTGGACCCGTTACTGTTATATTAAAAAAAAAAAGTAGTTGGTAATAAAGAGCGAGGCTTATATGAGTACATAGTCTTAGTCATAAAGCTTCATTGCATCATGTTAGTACAATGCTATGTAATGTAAACTTACCAACAGGATTTTCAGCGTTGATGACGTATTTTTCAGCGAGGCTTCTATTGAGGAGAAACAGACTAGTGGCAGAGTAGAGGACGACGCGAGGTGATCCGATGCCCGATATACTGCCGCGGCTGCGCATACTGCCTGCGCGGCGACCTTGGGCCTTCTATAATACACAAAAATATACTTCAGATACTGATTTATTTCAGTTTAACCTAATAATGGGTAAATACTTTAGCGAAAATCATACCCATCTGTCTTGAAAATAAAACGTCGTGATAGAGTTGGACGGATGTCTGTGATGCAACTGCGGGAAGCCGGGAGCGTTGGTGGGGGACGGCGTAGTTGTCGCGTGAGGGGACACGGAACTATACCCCGTCCCGAACAGCGCTGGCGTGAGCGAAAGAGACGACATCGATCTAGGAGTTCCCGCTTCATGCTTCAGCGACAGTCGACGAGCGTTCGTCGGTCGGTTGAACACGACCAGAGTATCTACGCCACACCACTTAGCACCACACGTTCGAGGAAACGGTATACACGAGTCGCCTGCGTTTTCGCTCTCCGACTGACTCCTTTGACTGGACTTCATCGAGTCTGAGTCGTCACTTGTTTTTACTGGGATCTCATCCACAGATGTTGCTAATGTCTTCAAACAGTGCAATAGACATCTGCGGCCCTCTTTTTTCTTACGGAAAGCAGTCCTGTTGATAGCCTGAAGTATTTTGATAGTTGTTGTGCTATCGACATTGGTTCCAGATAACCAGGAAAACTTTGGTATGGTTTTTTCAGTTACATTTCTAGGGAACATGACTTGTAAGTTGGCAGTGTATCCATTTTTCTCTGAATGGATTTGACATGTTCTGGTATCAATGTTTATATCAGTAACTTCAATGTTAGCCATCTCACGGATAGATTCGAATTCTTCATCAATAGAGGTAGTACTTTTGTGGGACTCTTTATTCTGTAAGTAAAAACATATTTTTTTAAAGTAAAATTTATGAATCTTTATTTCAATAAATTATTTGAAGATTATACTCACTGTTTCCTTATTATCAGTTACAGAGAGGTCATTCGTGGAACCAGCAGTAGATGCATAACTTACAGCTGAAAAAGAAATGTAAATTTTTATACTTTCGGATTTTTAAATCATTTTTACTAAGTTAGCATACAATTTTGATAGATTAATTTGATTTGAAGTGGACTATACTCACTGTCACTGTTATTATCATCATCATACTCAGTATCATCAGGTAAATAGTGGTTGCACATTTTCAAGAGAGATGGGTGCATAGACCACACCCTAAGTGTTTGATCTCGGCCCCATGTGACCAGCTGATAGTTGGATGGTGAAGTGTTTGGTCTCCAAACCATTGTTTGCACTGTGTCAGTGTGTCCTACTAGTCTATGAGAGAGAGCCCCATTCACCCATATGCCAATAACTCCTGCTTGTTCCACTCTTGGCAAACCTCCCCAGCCAACTCCTATAGTCAACAGACCACTTCCAAATGGTGTATAAATTGCGCGCCAAACAGGAAAGTTGGTCATTATAACATTTTCTGGTCTCCTGGCATTGTTGATGTCAAAGAACTTTATACTGCCGTCATGACTGGAGGTGACCAATTGGTATTCATGATGAGGACTCCAGTCAACTCCATGGATTTTACATAAATGTGCAGAAATGTATTGTATAGGGGCAGTATGTTTTCTGTAGTCCCAGATCTTTATGTCACCATCATGGGCTGTGGCAACTATGTGTGCAGCTACTTTATTCCATTGTACTTGAGAAGCTCCAGCTAAAAATAATCACAAATTGATTATGAGATTTTTTTAAAATACAGACAGACATAATTATTTATAGCTCATTTAAAAGCTGAGTACTTACCAACAGCACATAATGAAAGAACTGGTTTTCTTGCATCTCTCAAATCCCAAAGATGGGTGAATGTGTCTATAGAACATGTTGCAATCAGGTTGTGATCTTGTCTGTGGAAATGAGTGTCGCTTACAACTCTTGTGTGCCCACGGAGTGATGTAACACAAGTTAGTTCATTACTCCCTCGCCATTCATATACATCCACTCTTTGGTTGCTCTGTAAATTATAATTATTTACCTAATTCAGTTTCATATTACATACATTACTTTAGTTTGCCAGATAAAATTGTTATTAAGTTTAAATAAACATTCATGCACTAAATCTAACCCTACCTTCTGACCAAAAATTGTATGTGTAACATGGTTGCAGTTTAGATAAGAGACAAATTAATGATTTGTTTACATACCGCAATAGCACACAGCTTCTGTCCGTGATACGATTGGCACCACTCGGCACCCGCTGCGTCGTACTTGCTGTGGCGAGGATATTTCTTCACTATGTCCCCGGCGTCCTCCTCCAGGTTTATCTGCTTGATAGCTAGCGACCTTCTGCCTGCCAACAGCACGTTGTTCCCCGAGTAATCTACAGACATCGCCGTGGCTTGCAACTCCCGGTACTCCCACTTCATTATCTCTGAACTCCAGTGTACCGACATATTTCTAGCAAAATTCACAGTGTAAAAACAAAATACAATTGTTAAAATCTTTGTGGAATAATTTTATCACTAAAATATCGCCCAAACATGATAAAAAAATGCACGCCAAACAAACGTCATGGCTTGACACTTGACATTGACAATCCGCTGGTTTCTATTTTGTTAAAGTCCGAAGCAAATTGCAGCAGCGTTGGTTGTGGTTGGTTGGTTAATTTATAAAAATTACAACCTGAATAGTTCCCGGCTGATTAAAAGAAATATAATTTGACCTTTGTCTTCTTCGCTTTTGAACATAAAAATGGATAAGAATTCCATTAATGTTTTTCATAATTCTAAAAATTATGAAAGTACTGAGGGCCACTGAGGCTGAATCGGACAATTTAAAAAAGTTGAGTCTGTCAACGTCAATCAATCTGACAGTGACATCTTAAGCCAGAGGCCAGAGCCAGCTGTTTGTTTTGCCTCCGGTCGGAGTGTTTATTTATTATATTTAATTCTAGATCAGAAAGAAAATACCTCATGTTCATTATCCGGGAATCTATTTTTGTACAAGGATGAATCACCTGTGTGCTATATGTCTAAATTAGACAAAGATCCTAAATATGCCGGTAACTATTCGAAGGTGGCACCACAAGTTGTTCTATCGAACCATTCCTAGGTTTCTTATCGGCATTATTTTTATCTACATCTATTGTGAATACCTTATCTACTATGTGACTCAAATTCAGGTATGTTTGAAGTATTACCATGTTACTTTCATTTAATCTAACTTAGTATTATTACATTGTTTTCAAAACACATGTTCAAGGGATATGTCTAAATTATGTATTAAATCTTTTTAGTGTGGCTGGCCAGCACTCAGCAAATCGCCGCCAGATGATGTAGAGCCTTTGTATGTCATGGTGTTGGCTGACACTCATCTGTTGGGCTCCCGTAATGGCCATTGGCTGGACAAGTGGCGAAGAGAGTACCAAATGCACCGTGCCTTTCAAACTGCTATGACTTTACACAGACCCGAAGCTGTATTTGTTTTAGGTAACACATAAAATTTTAATATTAAGCCCTAATCTTTGAATTGTGCTACTTCTAATAATTATTAGGTTTAAAGAGTTTTATTCTAATAAGAACTTCACTTTACTGACCTATATTTTTTTTTTATATCAGGTGACTTATTTGATGAAGGCAAATGGTGTTCCCAGCGAGAATTTAAGGATTATGTAGAAAGATTCCATAAACTTTTTAAGGTTCCAGATGGAACTACCATGTATGCCGTTGTTGGCAATCATGACATTGGATTTCATTATAGGTAAGTGACTTAATTCCTCAAATAAGTTCTGCTTTTCCAATGTTTTGTTTTTTTTTCTTTCTCTCATCATCTTAGGTCCTATTTAGGTACCCCTGTCTTTGATAAATAATTTATAATAATAAACTTAATTATTACACTTATAAATTTTAAAGCAAGAAACTTGTAAGAGAATCTAGAATTGCTGGACCAATAGAAAGTGATGTGTTCCGTAGGTAATTGATTTTGCTATTATCTTACTTTAGACACATTATCAATCATATTTTATTGTAATATAAGTATAATAATATAATTGACCCTAATATGTTATTCTGTGATTCACTCATCTATATATATAAAAATGAAACCCGTTTCGCGTTGTCACGGCATCACGTGTGAACGGCTGAACCGATTTCGATAATTCTTTTTTTTAAATGTTTGTGGAAGTCCAAGGATGGTTCTTACGGAAAAAAATATTAAGAAAATCTCTACGCTAAGGCGGTACGAAGTTCGCCGGGTCAGCTAGTGATTGATATTTTTTTATTAATTGTTTTATTGATTAGAATTAAATGTCAGAGAGAGTAATAAATAAAAAAGTGTAACATAAACATTGGAATTTATCCATAAATAAAATATGTTTAAAGAATAAATATTATTTCTTACATGTAGCATTTTATTTTATTAATTTAATACAAAGATGTTGAACATACTAGAAGTTTCATGTTCTTTAATTAAGAATGCACTGATTGCACAATAATATTGCATTTCATTAGTTAGTGATTAGAAATGACTAGAAAATATTAAAATATTTAGAATTTGGTTTAATTTAAATCTTTGAATATTAACAATAGTGCATTCAAAGGATAACACCGCACCTCGCCCACCGATTTGAAAGCAAGTTGGACGCGCCTCCAGTCCGCCTGGTGACGCTAAAGGGGAACCATTTTGTGCTCATCAACTCCATGGCCATGGAAGGCGACGGTTGCACTCTCTGCTCCCGCGCAGTTAGCGAGATCGACAGGATTTCAGGTGCTTTATCAAGTGTATTTAACATAATATAATATTATTGTCTCGCTTCAGTAGGTACACATTGCAAACATTTTTGACAAAACTTTTAGTTATTCATAACTCTAATTTTTTTAGACTCAGTACCTATTTTTGCACAAACCACATAATAATAGAAATTGTCTCTTGCATACAGATATCATGAAGTGTAGCAGTGGTTCTGCTCTTTGTAAGGGAAAAACAAGATTGGAGAAGTATAGCAGACCGATTTTGATGCAGGTGAGTTCACAAGCTTGACTTGAATTAGTCGATTTTTAGTAACAGAACATGATTCTTAAATGCAATTTTCAGCACTATCCCCTATACAGAGAGTCGGATAGCATTTGCACGGAGCCGGACGCAGCGCCTTTACCAGAGCGCAACAACTTGTTCGAGGAACGCTGGGACTGCCTCTCCAAAGAGTCTACTGAGTACCTTGTGGAAAGCCTCCGCCCGCGAGCGGCTTTCGGTGCGCATACGCATCACAGCTGCGTAGTGAGGCACAGTTTTGTGCCCACCCCTGACCATAAGATCGAGTTTGTGGAGTACACAGTGCCGTCCTTTTCGTGGAGGAATCGATTGGACCCTAAGTATTATTTGGTGAGGGCATTTACTTTTTTATCAACATTTTATGAGCTGTGATTGACGTCACTTGCGGGACCTATTTTCCAAAGTCAAATGACCGAATATTAAATACGTTATCATCGTGGCTATCTTACGTCGTTGTATACTTAGGTACTAACTTTTACACGCGGCTTCGCCGGCGATTAATAATAATGTTACTTTACCTCTATAATAATAGTATGACCCGTCCCCTCTTTTGCTTTATTTTACCTGTTTTTCTCGGAAATTGATATCATTTGAGATGTACTATTTTCCTTGTATTTAAAATAATTTATCGATCGTGAATCATTGGTATTTACAAGACTCCTTTCTTGTACTTTAAACTTATGTGCATACAACGCCACAGATAAATGATGTAAAAGTCACTTCTTATCACTGTTTGTTTACGTATCTGAAAACAGCGAGTAATATCTAGTTTCGAATTTTATAGAGGTTAATAATGAATAGATACAAAAATACTTGACCATGTGTATGTAAACTGAGTTTATTGTGTTAATGATCTAATTTGCATTGACATTAATAGGCGTTCAGTGACGCACAAGCTGAAAGTTAAGGGATCTGTTACACTGGAAGCATTCTGCGGTTGCGATCTGCATAATGTATGAACAACTTTGTTGGTGTCTGTACATTTCGTATTGATGCGACTTGACCGTGTGGGCACGAGCAAAGAACGCAACCTGCCTTTATCACTACCGCTAACAGATTGTTTTTCTCGGACCGCAGGCCAATGGGCCCTGACCGACAATAATGTACGTAACATGATGCGGGCTGCGTTCACTTTGACCGCAGAGTTCGCATCCAGTGTAGCAAATCCTTAACATTATGTTTTGTTGTAGCTTACCATAACGCCAGAAGAAGTGAGGGTTTCCAAATGCGGCATGCCGCGGGAGTGGACTATGCAGGTCACGGCGATACTAATGACCATGGCTCTTGTCATCTACCTGAGATATTTCAACTCTACCGCCCACTATTTTAATTACAAGCAATTGTAAGTTTTTTTTTCATAGAAACGTTCTTAATAAGGATTATGGTTACTATTTGGCGCTATCTGCCTCAACGCTCTACATTGAGTCAAAACCATAAGGTAAAGATTTGATGGACTCCATCTTCATGGCACTTTAGGTAGTGTGTAGTTATAAATCTTGCAACTCACGAAGCCGAGTGAGCTTTACATGGGTGGTTGCAAGCTTTACATGAAATAGACCGTATATGTCCATAAAATTTGCACCGAATGGGTCCATAAAATTGGCACCTATACATGAAAATTCTTTTTGACAGCTTTTTATATTGATAAAACCTTCAAAATAATATGATGATTTATCTTTGTCCACAGATCGGGGAAGAAAGTTTAACATTGACACAAGTGATGTTCATCATTCCAACTTCCATATCGTGGTTAGTGAATACCTAATTTATTTTTGTTAAATTTTAATTAAACTGTCAAAACAACACTAAGCGTATTTTTATAAAACAAAATTACACCCATAGTAACTAGATTACTTAAATAAACAAGCTAGGTACTCAATATTTAATATTTATATTATTTTTAGATTTATTTGGTAGAGTTATCTCTCAGAATCAAAGCATTCACATTACTTACGCTCTGTATAAATATTCAGTTTTTTGTCTAAATAAATCATGATCGCATGCTGTCGTGTAGTAGGTACTGTGGTCGCAGTCACGTTAAACTTTTTTCTCGTCATGCAAATTTTGTTACTACTTTTCATACTTATTACAATACTGTCGTCTTAATTAGGTTGTTGCCCTCTCGTGATTAAGCCAGTACAAACGAGAATTCAAGTTTGTCGTACTATAAAAACCGATAGGCAACTTACGAGTATCATCCAGGCGCAATCATTTTTTGTTTAAGTGCCTTTTGATTGGCGGAAGTAATATAGAAAAGTCGGTATATTTGAAAAAAAAGCAAGAAAAAATTATTATGTAACTAACGTGCATAGCTGGGCACCGTTAATCAAATAGTTAACTTCGTTAATCGTTAAACCGTTAATAAAAAAATTAACTTCGTTAAACGTTAAAACGTTACATTTAGCAAGATTTAACGCAAGTTAACGTTAATCGTTAATCCGTTAACACACGATAATAAAACGAAAAAACCGGCCAAGTGCGTGTCGGACTCACGCACAAAGGGTTCCGTACCATTGAATTATGTTTTTTTTTTAATTTAAGTTATTAGTATGAAAGATTACGCGGTAATAAGCGGTTTACGATTTACGAGGTATCAAAAAAAACTACTTACTAGATCTCGTTCAAAACAATTTTCGTTGGTAGTTTTTATAGTAATGTACAGTCGCGGAATGAAAAGGTTCGTCACCTTAGTGTCGGTTTTCGCTTGCACTAGGTACTGTAAGAGTCAAACCTGCCAACATAACAGTGCAAGAAACAGTGCTGCTAACATTTAAATAAATATGACGTTTGCTACCTAACGAATAAGGTTTTGCTTGTTTATTTTTCTATCCCATCAGTGCAACGCAATGATGACATTGACCAATTGACAATATTTTTTTTATTTAATAGAAATAATAATGGCAGGTGGAACCAACAAGAAGGTTTTAGTTTATCAATCATAATAATCTTCTTGACAAGATAAATCGTCAAACAACTTTGATCTGAATAATTTTGAACTTTACTGACGAACATTTAAAGATTATTTTCTCTAACTCGAGATTATTCTGTAACATAGTTTCAAAAGGTAATATGTGCTGGCGATTCGTTGAAGGAATCAATTTGAAAACTGACGAACCTTTTCATTCCGTGACTGTACATCATCAAAAAAATGGCTGTGACATACGGACGGACAGACAGACATGACGAATCTATAAGGGTTCCGTTTTTTGCCATTTGGCTACGGAACCCTGAAAAGTAATTGTATGCAAGGTTCAAATAATTTCAAAAGCTTGTATCGCGCACGGAATTTATTCCTCTTTTATGTTTGCGCTACAAGTTTTCGAAATTATTTTAAGGAACCTTGCATACAGTTATTTTTTTAGTTTGAGTAAAAACTGTATTTCAGAATAACAGCTTGTTTTTAAAAATGTCTATAGTATCTCCATCTCAGAGCCTTGGTTCAATTACAATACAATTTAGCATCAAAGTGCTCTAAAAGACAAATCCAACGAACCCAAATTCGAAGCGATGCTGCCGTTTCATTTAGTAGTTCCTATGGCCACCTCCTGACTCCATCATCAGGCCAGCTTAATGGTACCATAACATTGCATTTTCACCGTACTTACATAAGTATACCAAATTTCAGCTCAATCGGTTGAGAACTGGTCATAAATTCAGTTGCAAGATTTGTCCCACACATACCTACTAAGAAGTGAAGTCAATATACATATTATAAAGCATGGGTCCATGATTAAAACTTGTAAATAAATAAAAAAATTGCATTTTTTATATCGCTTCGTTCTGACTAGTATTATATTATCTGTGGTTCTGGTTACAAAAACTGTTGTTTTGTGTTCTGGAAGTTCTGGAAGCCCGAACGTACTTGTCAGAACGCGTTTTTCTAGTGCAGTGGTTCTTAACCGGTGGTCCCTGGAAGCATTTCAAGTGGTCCACGAAGTGCACTTGCACACCTAGGTCAAAACCACTTTTAACAGATTTTTTGCAGTCAAAATTGACCGATTATGAGGTGGTCCCTGACAAGACAGAAAAGACAATGCCGGAAATTGGCGTCTTTTTTTTTTCGCGCGGCCATCGACCAAACCATGTTTTTTTGGATACAAAATAGTGTAATAAACTAAACTTACTACGGCATGTATACCTTTAAACTCAGTCTGAACTGAGTTACGAGCATTAGAAGTTTGATGATTTACATACTAGATTTGCTTTTTGCGCGCAAGTTTTGTAAGAAATTGCAACAAAATAGTGACATTGTATGTGTAAACAAACAATACCATCCATTAAAGGCTCCAGACATCAGTGTGGAGTAGAATCAGCGCAATAAAAAATAGCGCAATATTTTGTTGTAATTTCTTACAAAACTTGCGTGCAAAAAGCAAATCTAGTATGTAAATCATCAAACTTCTAACGCTCGTAACTCAGTTCAGACTGAGTTAAGAGATATACATGTCATAGTAAGTTTGGTTTATTACATTAGAAGTTTGATGATTTACATACTAGATTTGCTTTTTGCGCGCAAGTTTTGTAAGAAATTGCAACAAAATAGTGACATTGTATGTGTAAACAAACAATACCATCCATTAAAGGCTCCAGACATCAGTGTGGAGTAGAATCAGCGCAATAAAAAATAGCGCAATATTTTGTTGTAATTTCTTACAAAACTTGCGTGCAAAAAGCAAATCTAGTATGTAAATCATCAAACTTCTAACGCTCGTAACTCAGTTCAGACTGAGTTAAGAGATATACATGTCATAGTAAGTTTGGTTTATTACAATATTTTGTAATCAAAAAACAAAGCTTGGCCGATGGCCGCGAGAAAAAAAAAGACGCCAACTTCCATACAAAATCTGGCATTGCCATTTGGTAAATTTTCCTGCTGTATCTTTTTGGTAAATTAAATAGTAGGTACTGGATTAACGATTAACGGACTTAGGATAATTTAACGGAAGTTAACGAGTCCGTTAACATTTTTTAAAGTTAACTTAAAAGTTAATCCGTTAATAGGAATGTTAACTTCGTTAATTAACGATTAACGGATTAACGAGTTAACGCCCAGCTATGNTTATGTAACTAACGTGTAAAATGTGTTTGTTTTTGTCGCTCTTAGGTACTCGTACGTTGGGCAAAATATTGTGTACTTAATAAATATTATCTTGACGAATGTTATTTTTGCCTATCCGACTAAGTACTTTCAGAAATAATCATGATAGGATCTATCCTATCGGTTTCTATCTATAGAAATCACCATTATGACTAATCGAGAGGAGGCGTGGCGTGGAGTGCTCACCTTCTGCGAAGCAGTCATTTCACAGAAGGAAGCGGCGGAGAGGGAGTGGGAAGTATCACCCGACGCACCCATTGCCCGCCGATGACGTCTCGGGCACAGGAGGAGGCTCTATGACGTCCACCTACCCCTTCCTAATAGGCCTCGGCCCATCAGATACTGGGGGGTATCGGTGGCGTCTAAAGAATCTTAAGAGGCCGCGACAGCGCAGCACGTGTCCTGCGTGCCGCTCGCTGAAGGTTGAAGGCCTTCCTTGGTTTAAGGCTGCGCACTAAGCGAGCCGAATGCCGAGCAAGGAACGCGGACGAATGTTTGAGGCAAAACGCCGATAGTGATGTCCCGCGTTCCCGACTCATATTGCTTACCGAGGGCAACGTCAGATCTTTAGTGGGTAAGCCCTGCCCTTCTGACGGGCAGAACCCCACATAAACCACTAGCTGCCCCCGCGGCTAGAGGGTATAGAAATCCATGTTATTTTTCTGACGAAACAAAAGATAGATTGTTGATATTGTACACAACGCAAAACAAAAAAAAGAAAGAAATAAACAAGAGACGGCACAATTTAGGCGGTCTATATCTCTATGGAATAATCTCTTCCAAAAAACATAAGGGAGATAACAGTTGTTTAAAATAAGTAAAAGAGTTCCCTGCATGTATCAGTGTTCGCGAACCCATACAAGCTTATATAAAAGTATTCAAGACACGTGCGAACTTTTATACGTAATACATATTATTCCTTGTCGTCATTTCAATTCAAGAAAGATAAGTATGACTCGCAGTTTGATAACGTTACTATGCAGATGTTTTTAAATGTATAGGTGTAATTATTATCACGTCACTTAAGTAGTTAGCCTTATAGCTTGTAATTTTTATCATGTAACTGCTAAATTATTGGACAACTAATTATATCAGGCGATGCTACCCGCCTGCTTTGCCTTGTACGGTCATTGCGTGTTTGTCGTCATCTCGTATCACTTAACTCGATAACCAGCTCGGATGAAAGGTGAGGTTCAACAATGCAGATAACTTAGGAGGTCGCTGATAAAAAATACGCGAATGAAATCATTAGAAAAATTTATTTCACAAAATAAAACTATTAGGAACTTTAAATTTAAGTATTAACACATTCATATCAAATTAAACATAATTCGATATTCATGTAAAGTTTTACATTCTTTCTTCAAACACTATCAATTTTCGTAAGAGAGCGTGAGGAATTAATACTGAACTATAACTAAGTAGTAAAAATAATTATAAACTAATAAAATAAATGCAAAAGCTATAAGTTATACAATACTAAATTGCTACTCTGTCTCAGCAGAGCAGACAACAAAAACAAAGGTACATAATTCAATTAAGACACTGGGTAGGTTGGAATAAGGTACAAATATCTACCTTTAAACAGAGCGCTCGCTATCATCTGACATTACTGAGTAAGGTTAACAAACACTTAAGTCTTGCTACATGAAAAGTTATTGATAAACTTAAATTAATTGCGGTTTAATTACATTAACGACAACTATGCTCTATTTTGCGATTGTTTATGATATTATGCACTTCAAGTTTGAACTTGGTGACAAGAGTCACTTGGATTGAAATAAACATCAATATGTCGTCTACTCAGAGTACAATTCTGGTGTTGCGTTTAAGCATTCGCTAAGGTAAACTTATTTACCTTTTATAGAACCTTAGTTCTGAACGTGAATCGCTGTAGAAAAAATATCGTGTGCTTGTAATCGCTATTGGTGGGAACACATCGTGGTTTCAAGTGATTAGTCTACCGGTTAGTCAGGTATGTCGCTGAGTCGCATGCCGCCGGGGCGCCGGTACATGCGTTCGTGCATGGGCAGCTCTCCCACGAGGAACCGGTCCAGGGTCTTGCCGGTGTGGCGGCTGTGGCCTGAACTCCTGAACGCGGTGCTTGCGTCTTGCCCCGCGTATTCCAGCATCACGTCTGCTCCACCAGGGTGCTAAAACAAAAATAGCCAGTTATAAGTTTGTGTCCAAATAAAACTTTTGGGGTCAGTAACATTCGAAGGTAGTTCAAACTGTATTCAATTACATCTAACTAGAATTTTTATTATGGCTCTACATCGTTATTAGGTACGAAATCGCGTGGTATTTTAGAAAATTACGAGTATTGAATCCTTGACCAGTGACTTTAGTCGGGATAGACAACCACTAAACCAGATAGATAACAATCACTTATCACAAATGCGTGATATGTCACGTTCGAGCTGATTGTAAACATTTGATGTTGCATTGAAAAGTATATAAATATCCTGGTTAGATCATTAGTTCAACTCACCTCATAAAGGAAAGTAGTTATGTCGTACACGCGGTCGTAGATGACCACCCAGCAGTCTTGAGGCGTGTCGTGCAGGGCGACTTCTTCCAGGGAGATGATGCGGTCTTTCGCATCGGGCGCCCCGGGTTCAGAACTGTCCGACCATTTGTCGGCCTTTTTCTCGACGGTCCAAGGGTTGACCAGTCGGAGCGCAGCCATGGTGAGCGCCATGATGTCCAGATCTTTGCTCTCCTGTTTGGGGATCGGAGTAGGCAGGCTCGAAGGCGCGGCTTGTACAGTTGCCATTATGGAAATGTCTTCTTTCTATAACTTCTTAAAACGTGTCTTGTCTATTCGTCTGCTAACGTCGTTCTCTTCAAATTGACTGAATGCGTTTGCTCGTCAGGAACCGCGAAACTCTGGAAAGGGATTACGAAACCTTATTAGCGCTTGCAATTTCACATTCTGCAGTTTAGGGTTGAAGATATTGTAACATTTATAGAGTCATAAAAATATTAATATTAATGAGATTACTAATATGTAAATATTTATTTGATCTCCATCAAAGTGCAGAACTTCCGATTTTTAACAAATACTTCTAATAGATCACAACGTTAAAATACGTTGCTTTATACAGGCGACTCTAGCTAGACAGGCGTGCGGCAGCCCTCAGGTGTGTGCTGAAGCGTGAATAGCACATTCGATACTCTCGGCTCATATTAGTTTACAGTCTAAGACCAGCCTAGCCTATACCACCACCAGGGGATTAGGGGCTGTAGTGATGCTATAAAAACCTTTCGAGGCTTCAAATCTACATAGTAACGCGGCAGCCTGTGAAGCCGTATCTACTTTTGACCTCTGAACTTAAAACAAAGATAAAAAAAATGGAGGCATTTATCAAAAGCTGCGAAAAACAATGATGTGGGAAAAAGTTTATCGCAAACGTATGTTTGACGTAAAGGGTCAGTCGGGAAGACGTTTTAGTGACGTTTTCCTATGTATGCAAAGGTTTGACATTCAATTGTTTTAATTAAAAAATATTATTGACTTGTTTTCGAATAGGTAATTGAACTCTATTGTACATTAAGGTGAAGGTTATTGATTGTTTATTTCTAATTAAACTTTGAATTATAAACAACATTATTATCCATAATTACCTTTTAATCAATGCACTGTGCCGAAGGACTAGTGTTATCTCTGCTGATGCTCAAAGCGCGGGGAATGACTGTCACACCAGTTGTCACTATACCACCACTGTTTGTTATTGTATTCAGTTTCCACTATTTCAAGGTAATGCATGAGAGCGTAGATCATTGCCACGAACTAATGTTTTGTCATGTATAACTTGCGATTTGTGAATGAGTGCCGGTTTGGCGCGCGGGAGCTTTTATACCGCGCGCGCACGCGCCGGCGATCTGATGTAACACCGCACTATCTTGCCTACAGCGCGCCGCACGAGCTACGGTTCCCTCAATTAACACGGGATTTTTGATAAGATTACTATTAATTTTACACTCAATACAGGAAATGATCTATTTTTTACACAGTTTATTTATAAATTAAAATATTTCCATGGTATTTTCAATAAGTAGTTTTCAGTGATTGAGCCTTAGAAAATGACCGCATTATTTAAACTAACACGTGGATTGGAAACTTAAAAATAGAGAGCTAGATTATATTTTTACTTGTAATTATTTTAATAAAGTTTGAGTAAAAATTAAAGTTTGAAATTAGATGTGAAAATTTTATTTTTATTAACAAGATTATAGAATCATTTTAGGAATGTTTTTTTTTATATCAGTCAGTGGCATTTTAAAAAATGAACTTGACAACAATAGTAAGTAGCACGTCGATTACATAATGCCAAACCTAAATGAAGCGCATTAAACCGGTAGGATTATCTCACAAAGTAAAAAAATATTCCGCAAATGAACCTGCACTTGAACTTGAACATTTCGTAGATAATAAAAATGAAATATTCCTACTGCCAATTACGTATATTTATTTTTCTGAAAATGGAATTTTTAAATGTTACTACTACAATGAGGATATTATTTTAACAACGATGAAATGCCTTTTATGTTTTATGAACGTTGTTTTAGTGTTATTATTATTAAAATGATTGTCAAAGGAAGGATAATAACAATGCCTAAGTAATATTATAATCATGTTTCACAAAAGGAAATGTAGCGTGGGTAATTAAATAAACAAACATTTGTGTGCATGAAAATATTTGTTTGTATTGGACTGGGTGTTTTCTATGTATAATATGTATGTATTTACAAAAAAAAAGTATTTAAGTATGTTTATATCCGTTGTCTAGTACCCATAGTACAAGCTTTGCTTAGTTTAAAATGTAAAATGTAAAAGTATATTTATTTATTATTATTTATTTATTATTTAATTGGGGATATTAAACGATAAATAATATCCTTACACATAAAAATGTACATGTAACTTACTGTACTGAATCTGATTATCCGAGTCATATTACCTATACTGTATTTCATTGCATGAGTCTACTCTCTTAATGATCATTTATTAATTGGCACACGATTTTTCTATAAAAATTGGTTTGCGAGAAGTAGAGTTTAGTGTTAAGTACCTCGACCAACCAAGCTTTAACATACCTACTTACTGTAAGACCTAATAATAAACCTAAGTTTGAATGGGAAAATAAATGTATTTTTATTATTTTAAAGAAGCAGACTTTCAGGAGTGTATGAAATACACCGCTACTTATCACAAAAAGTTTTTGTCCATTATTTGCCTCGCAACAGCATAATTTAAATAGGTATAAAAATTTTACTTAATATCACTTACCTACGTTGTGAGATGTCTCGCCATATGACAAAATTTTGATGTCAGGCTGTTGATTAAAAGTTATCTTAATTTTGTTTACGTGACTTATCGTACGAATATTAGTGATATTGATGTTGTCATGCTTTAATTTTTCAAAATGAAAATTTGTCATGGAAAATCGTTTTTACGGTCTCACATATCCATTTGATAAAATAGATAAATACAAATGGGTATATTATTGGGCAGATAAAAGAGCCTGTTTTGACTGTTTAGTTACAATTTATGAATGACGACATTAAAACCCATAAATATTATTACGAAGATCGTAGAAGTCGTTTTGTTTACGCTGCGTTGGTCAGTTCTTTGACGCTGGTGACGTACGCGGTGAATGATCGCAACGTAATATTTTATCAGTTAACATAATAATAGTTCAATTACCACACATAGAGTATCGTCACGCTATATTCTAATCATCGGAAAATATATTATTAATTCCGGGGTTTCACTTTCGCAATCACGTCTGAGTCTACGACTAATACCTACTCTACATACAGGGTGGAAGGAACCACTTGGTAAAAGATACACTGAATTCAGGGGAATGAAAGAACAAAAAGTGCATATAAATATTTAAGTGTCACTCAATAGGTAAATAAAATTAAAACTGTATATTTTTGATTAAAATATTGTTGCATTAAAATAATTAAAAAAAAAGGTGTATTGTAAAGTAGTTCTTAGGCGATCTTACAATAGGATTAATTTATGTTTATTATATTATTTTTTATATGAAGCAGTGACTACCACGTCATTCACGTTCGACTTCTTATCTCGTGTTATTCCCGAAAATGAATGACGTGAAAAAATATTATTAATATAGTAAATTGAAAATGAAAACATTGTGGAGAACGTTACACCAATTTTCTTTGTGCAGGAAACAACTTTTCATTCTTATGAGTTTTCCAACTTGTTCCTTACACCATGTATTAGGTACCTATGTTTGTCTCTATGTCTGATACTGATTATATTATTTACACAGTCTTATAATGCAACGATGACTCTACCACATTATTTAAACCTCTTATTTACCTAGTATGTATTAAGATATAATTAAAAAACTGGTGTTGCTAAGCGCAGAACTTGAGAATGGCAGGATTAATTCTAAAAATATTTTTTTTCTAATTTTAATTGAAGTTCGAGTGAACAGTGAAAAATTTCCCGGAAAAACGTTAAAATCGGGAAAAGTCTCGGGTAAAAACTATTATTTTAGTATTTATTTGTTGATTGAAAACAGCTGTAAGTTTGTAGGTACATATTTCTATAAATAATAAAACACTAGGCCTGTCCCAGATGTCTTTTGCGCGTTAGATTATGATGAGTGATGAAAAATGTTTTTGCGATTGCCATACCTAACAGGCTTGTTTGCAAAAATTGCTATCGATTAAGCATCTAGTGACCCTGTTGTTGTTTTGATGACTGATGTAACATTTGAGACTGATTTCTTCCTGCGTTTGATTAGATTAGATTTATTTTGAATTTTTGCAATGATTCAAATAAACACCTGTTTTCATCATTTATGATCTCTACATTTACTAACGTCAGAATAATATTGACGTAGTTTCGCGCTCATTCTCAATAATTTACGTGATTTATTATTGTTTGGTTAGTTGTTTGGCTAAGGCATGAAATAGTGTAAATGTTTTAGTTTAATATAAGTAAGTACATGAAATAGTTTAGAAAACATAAGTACATGAGGTTATCAGATGAACTTATTAATATTATAGTCATGTCTTCGATGTAAACACCATTTGAAAATAATATCCTCATCTGGTTATCAAGAAAAGCTTTGGATGCGCAAGACTGACACGACACGCCTATAGATAGTGACGCACATGCAGCAATGAACAACAAAAATATTATTCTTTATTTGTGTTTTGCATTAATCGATACAATTGAAATTGTCTGCGCTATTCATAAGAATAGCTTTGTATTCTGAAGTACATAATTAATATTTTCATCAACTTCAGCCCACACGCCTTCTAGCGCGACTTTAGTGATAATTTTTCAACCGTTTGACAGTAAAGGTATTTTGTGTTAGTATTTATGTTGCTTTTTAAATGAATGATCTTAACAAAAAAGAAAGATTAGAAACTTTACTAAGAGTAGGATTTAAAACATTTTTCAAGACCTCACTAATTAGTTGTAAAACGCTTGTACTTTATAGCTACTTATGTTATGGAAAATTGTTTTTACGATATCGCAAACAAAAGTTGTTTTCGTAGAACCCAGGCCTACTCAATTCAAGAAAATTATTCGAGGTTTCACAACACAATGATATCAATTTATTTCTTTAAGTTAGTAGACAGTAGGTATCTTTGTAACGGAGTGTGTAATGTCACAGTTGCGATCGATCTGGTTCAACCCAGTTACACTTTATTAGGGTCATTATTGACCTGATAATGTCTTGATGAACACGAGAATAAAACGCAGTGTATTAGCCTTGAGAAAATTATACGCATAAGATATACAGACTGAATTTGCAATCAGTGTCCAAATTTTTAGGAGCGACTCCGAATCAGTAACTTAATCACCAAAAAAATCAATTCACGTAAAGAACATTTTTTCATATTAGATTATTTTTATCCGCTGCGCGCGTTTTCAAAATTGGCATTTGGCACACGTGGATAATTAATTTGCTTCGTTCATAGAAAAAGACACGTTAACTGCAAAGCTTAAAAGACATAATGGTACGAGAAAATAAGCATTAACCTTTAAAAATTAAGATATGGCCACCCGCGAATTACATTTTTAATAATTTTTTCGCGAAAAATATCACGATTAAAAATAGCTAAGATAAAGTTGTATTGTTAAATTGTTCTATAGAGCTTATTTAAAAAAATGAATTCTGTTTACAAAGTTATTCTGTATACATATAGGTTAAAAAACAATATTATAATCAGGTTGATTTGATACTGATTAGATAACCCATATTGAACTATTTCCACAGAAATTTGTTGGTTTTAGTGAAGTTAGATATTAATTGCGTTCTCAATTCATGTTCTTATCAGGGTTTGATTCAGAAGTTGAGTCTAGAACAGAAATAAATTATTTAGATGGCACGCGCTATAAACTTGTATACTATGTACTTGTACTCTTATGTTAGCCTCACAGAACGTTGTTTCAACATATCTTATTAATTTATGTATTAAATACATTAGTAGGACCTTTTATCTGTCTCTTATTTATTGTAAAGGTTGAAAAAGTATTTTTCGCTTGTCATTCAAAAGTTCAAGTGTATGTAACTTTCGGGTTTGGTTCACTGATTCCGATAGTTTAATCACGGTTTCCACGCTTGAAGTATCTAGAGACATTTCAAATTACCAAACATTAAAGATAACGAGAAAATTGTATTCTTAGCGTCATGAAATCTCTTTGTTTAAAGTTTAGAGCGATATCAACATACATAATGAATCAACAATCATGATGATTAAATTATTATTGCATTTAATATTATGAATGAATCGTATCGTTGTGAACTTGACCTTACGGCTCAGATTCGGCTTATTTTCATAATAGGCGTGGTTCATT